AAGTGTACTGAGTGTGTGGATTTTACTGAGTAGAGTGCGATAAAGTCTGTTCGATACGACGAACCCGTTCACAGCATACCGTAAACGAAACATGGCCTTGCAACCACCATACCTTGATCTATGAAAACTGAAAACAATAATAATAATCACTTACCTTTTTACTCTCTGACAAAAGCCCTCCGGCTTCATTTTATGGCCAAAAGAACATACACACACTACATACTCATAGCGAATTTCCGGCTTTTCTTTGTTCAGACTGCTTTCACGTACAACATAATGAATCCAAGTCATCTATTGCTTTTCAGATGGTGTATTATCAGTAATAAACCTTTTGCAACAGATCGATAGCTTCTCTGACTTGATCCTAGCTTGACAGGTGCCTGGGTCTCAAAATCATTTCGAAGACATTACTGGTATCCACAGCCACTGGACACTCAGTATTAGTAGCGTGATCCATAATACTGAAGAAAATAACAAATCTTTCATTCTGCCTGATAACAATAAATAACAGTTAGGGACGAATAAGCGGCCAGTTACGGTCACATGCGGTCAGTCAGTCAGAAACAACGTGAAACTTCGTACGTACGTACATCAGTTCGAGTTGCCATACCACATTATTTTAGCTAAAGAAAACTAACTTCCGTTCTCCATATCTAAAAAAACAATGCTCAAAATATAACGGGTTAAGATTTTATGACATAGGAAGAACGAGCTAACAAAACTAACCTTGTCTCCTGATATCTGAAAAAAAGAACTCAAAACAAAACGCATCAACATTTTATAACAAGACTAACCAGATTGCTTGAAGAAATACATTGACTTGAGTAGAAGCAGCAAAAATCCAGAAAAAATCGCTGATTTGAAATAAATTTCACACCAACATGTAGAACATTACACTAACTGCGGCATTTTAGCACACCGAAAGATTAAATTACATAGCTACACAAAAGAAATAGGTGAAAGAAGCACAGAACGAAGAAAGCCAACCGCCATTGCTTACGAAGATGGCGGATATAATGATTCCCGCCTCATTCTGATTGGTTGCTAAGCCGAAGGGCACATTTACGAAATTGAGTTGCGTTTAATTGCAGCCCTGTTTTCAACATTGATGCTTACCTCACTAGTTTTAATGGAACCAGTCTAGCTGAAGGCGCTCAGTCACGCATCCGCACAAGATCACGAGTTAGCACGTCGTGCTACTCATCCCTCACAACTGTTAGTCAGCTTTGATTGAAATTTACTTACTTATTTAGGCTTGTTAGCCTCCGTCGAGAAGCATAGGCCACCCACTACTATTCCCAGCCTATTCTTACCTGGATAACCCTTCCCAGTTTTTTCCAGTTGCTATACACGCTTTCCATGTCTCCTTCCAATTTCCGGTGTAGTGTGCTCTCTGGCCTTCTTTTTTTACGTTTCCATTCATGATTCCATGTTAGCGCTTGCCTTGTGATGCAGTTTGCTGATTTCTGTAATTTATGTCCTATCCACTTCCCAAGTCATTTCTTAATTTCCCCTGCAACTGGAAGCTGGTTTGTTCTCTCCCACAGAAGGTTTTTCCAGATGGTATTCGACCGATGGATACTGAGTATCCTTAATAGACGTTTGTTTATAGACTGAACTGAAATAGCTTCGACGGGCTCCGGAATTTCGATTTTAAATGTTTGTTTGACCAACAATTACCTAATAGTTTAGTTATTATATTAGTGCGGTACGATAATACCCAGATTTGGTGACTATATTTGTCCTTTTAGGCAACTTATATGATATACCGAATCATAAACCCAAATGCATATAGAAATAACGACTATCATGGGTTTAGTGAAAAATTTTTACAGGCTATTCAAATGACTGTTAAATCTAAATGGTATAGATGGCATAACACAATGAACGTATAAGCTATGTTAACGTATAAGTTGATCTAGTTTTTGAAAATTTAAAAAAGTTTTGAAAGTTGTGACGACGCGCGTAATTAATGTTAGGAATATAATGAGTTATAGACGTTTTATGTGAAGTTACTGTAGTTAGCTTAGTGACATTTATACACATGTGGCAAATGCAATTGAAACTAATAAATTTCAAATAATTTTCGAACCTAATATGCTTCGTCTGTAAACAACACATTTTTATAATAGTATGTTGTAATATAAAGCGATTAAATAATTTTTATACCAAAAACGCTTCGGGAGTGGTCCATATAAAATATATGTGACTAGTCTAAGTGAAAATATATACATGTTAAGGAGTATCAAAAAGGGTAAAACACCGAACAAAAGAGTTAAACTCGCCTGGATTATTTTTGAAATTTAGACTATTCAATAGGTTTGACATATATAGGACCATTTAGGACAAGCAGTAATGATCTAAAAGCAACCAAATTACACACACACAGTATTCCAACCACTTTCTGAGTGTGTGTGATGTCATTGACTATGTTACTGGGTTGATTCAGAACAAATGAATGAATTCGGACAATCATGTGGCTGTCATCGTATGAACCAACTAAAATGACCTTATGATTGCAGAAAATTTAAAGCCTAAACTCACCGTAGGTTTCTGGAGCATTGATTTCGTTGTTTGGCTATGGAACTCAAAAATTGGAAATTGGATAGGCATTGGTCGGAGGAAGAAATATTACAGGATAGTCCTTAGTTTAAAAGAGTGAAACGTTAAGTGAAAAAACAATATGAAGGATTAGAGCCAGATAACCACTCATTATTTGCTCACGTTACTAGTCAATGTCCATTTACGTCGATTAAAGGTCATATTTGTTAGAGCTTGATGTTTTGACAAGTTTATTTCGCTGAGGTATGTAAACCCTATTAAAGCTTTCTAATAAACCACCGTAGCTAATAATTAATATAGATGATCAGCTATTAGTATCGATTGAGCTGGTAAGCTGTGAGTACTAATCAATATAACATTACGACATTACATGTGAGCATTAATCAGAGGACTAATAGAATAACGGGTTAACATAAGTAATAATCGATCGAGAAAGTTAAAGTGGAAATAAGGATTAATAATAGGCTGCGTTTCTTTAGTCGGGTTTACCAATGTAGAATTATAGTCTGCTTCTATATTAGTACTGCTCTAATAATAGACCTAATCCTAAAATTGTAGATTTGGTACGATGTAACTGCCTAATCTATAAGATGAAGAAAACATTTAGATAGAACAATATATTTATTATGAATGAAAGTGTGTTGGCACTTGATCTTACTCTCAAATCTTCCTGAATGGAATGTGTGGGAGGTCTACAGTTACTTCGGTGTCTGAATTCAGTTCCTCAGGTGGTAAATTGTCAGGCCCTGATATTTTGCCATTCTCGATTTGTCTGATGACCGGCCGTCCTGGTTTCTTCGGTGGTTGGTGTAGTGACATCTGTAGGAAGATTTATATGTGCTGCTTTAACGTTCGGTTGGTTCAATGGAACTGGTTTATTTAGTTCTTCAAAGTGTTCTGCCCACCTATCCCTCTGTTCTTGAACCTCAGTGATTGTCAAGCATTCTTTGACCTTGACTGGCTCTTCAACATATTTCCATTTTTCGACTCTAATGCTTCTCTCCACTTGTTTGTTTGCTTCAGTGTATTCAGCTTGTGTCTTAACTTTCTCTATTCTTGTTCGCCTGTTGTTAATTTCTGTCTTCCTGATCTTCTTTCTTGAATCATATGAAGGGTTTTTATAGAGATCCATTTCTTATTATGATGCATGTTGCGGTCCAGAACCTCACGAGTTAATGCTACGTTGATCCCTCTCCAATTATCTTCCATTTTGGTTTCTTCTTCCTTCAGTAGATCGTGTAAGGCTTGGAGCCTGATGTTGAGAGTTATCTCGGATTTGTTCAGTTTGTCATTATGTCGAAGGAAGGCTGTATTGAATCTTTGTAATGCTGTTTATCCAGTTATCCAATACTTCTCTAGCTTCAGTTTCGTCTTGGCCACAACCAGAATCTACATCAGCTCCTCTCCTGGTCCTAACGTCTTCCATTGTCCTTCCGAATTTTTTTGCTACAAATATGATCTATTTGGTTCTCTGTTGTGTGGTCCGATGAGACTCATCTAACCTTGCGTGTGTGTTTGTGTGGGAATATTGTGCCGCCTATGATCAATTTATTGAATATACATAGGTTCCTAATTCTCTCCCTATTTTCGTCCCTTCCTCCTAATCCATGTCATCCCATGATATCTTCGTATTTGATGTTGTCCATCGCGACTTTGGCGTTTAGAATTCCCAATAAGACGGTTAGGTCCTTTCCTGAGCACTTCGCTATGATTGATCGTATCCTCTCATAGAACTGATCTTTATTGTCGTCATTGCTATCATTGGTGGGTGCATAACATTTGATTACATTCATTGTGGTTCCCTCCTTCTATGTTTCGAAGGATGTTTTGATGATTTTGGACACATGAGATTCCCATTCTATATGTGCATCACATGCTTATTCGGAGAGCACCAGAGCAACTCCGTGAGTGTGTAGTGTATTTTCCTCCTCATGACCGGAGTACAGAAGCATCTCTCCCATATCTAATATTTGCTGTCCAGCTTGAGTCCATTGGGTTGCTCTGATTAAAAGTACTGCCGAATTGTATTTCATCACTTCCTCAGGTATTTGATCGGTCCTCTCAATCTTCTACATTGTCCGGATGTTCCATGTGCCTGTAAAAGTTGTTGCTCTGGATGTTAGAAGGAGCATTGTCCTCATGACTTCCGAAAAATATTGGCTTTCACCATGAGGCGTCATAATTTTTCTGAATAAAGATCCTCCAACTTGGAGGACAGGGTTTAGTTCCAGATTTACTTTGGTTTTGTACCATATGTGTGCGAAACAATTTGGAATGTGCTACTCTCATTTTAAGACTGGTGGTATTACCTCAACTCCTATCTACATTTTCTCACGGCAAAAGACACGAAAAAATTTGTCATAACGTAAGGAAAGAAAGAATTACCCCTATTTGAAGGTCGAAAATGTAAGTTCCTCGTGGCGCCCTGATTAGTTGGTACAGTAAAGCGCTGAGTATGAATTGTGACGGCTTTTTCGAGTTGGAGAAAAGTCGAATAGACTACCGCAGTTACAGGCAAGTTCAATAGTGTTATTTGACAGCTGACAAAGGTATATCGAATTGGACAATGGCCTGAGGGCTATATTAGTGTCCAACCTAAAGCCTGGGGAGGAAGCACTCGATGACTCCTTGTCGGATTCCGATCTTGAAAGTAATAATTCTGAAAGCTTGGAAGACGAAGATGTTGATATCGAAGAAAACCCTATCAGTGACCAGGAGGCGAAGGCAAGAGTGATTCATTTGTCTATCTTTTTTTTGCAAATGTGAAGAAACTAGGCTTTACCGAAAAAGTCTAGGTGATCACCTACCATGGTAGATTTTATCCTCAAGAGACTGTTAGTTTTTGAATTTACAACCAGATCAGTAAATATTTCAACATGAAGAGTACTCTTTGTCGTAGGTTATTAGAAATTGCTTAACACAGCTCTATGCTTATTGTTAATTATAACAAAACGTAAGACCATAGTCTGTGTTAGCTAATATTATAAGCTATGTTTGGTGAAGCTTTAGGCTTTTGAATCGCAAAATCTTCAGAATTAATATTCGTGGTGTCTTGTCACAACAAATGCAGTTCCAACATAATTATTTTCTACTTAGCAGCGTCATTAAGTTTAGTGAATAATATGTAGTGAAAGCCTCTGGGGATAATGTGTCGATAGCGTTTGAAAATAATTCACTATGATATTCTCAAAGGCAATCATTATAGGTCAGGTCTCACTTGTTGGACTGCAACGAATATGAGAATAAACATCTGGATTTGAAACTACATGTTCCACCAAAATGTTTTAGTCGTTAACATGTTAACGTAAAAAAAGGGATTCGAAACTGAATTTTTACTACTTCGGTCAGTCGTATGAAACAAGTTATTGTTTGTGATTAAAAACATTAATATAAAATCACTATTTATTAAGACACTGACGGTAGCTGTGATGAAAGTGTACTGATACACTTTTAATGGGATTAGTTCCTAAGAAATAATGTTTAGACCATCTAACCAGAATTTTTGTGCTGATTTGTATTTCATAATTGTCATCGTGTGTTTGCTTCATTCGTCAGCATTATCTGGAAATAAAGGAGTAATTATTTTAATTTCTGGTCAATAATTGATACAAAACAAAAAAATAGAGGACATTGTTTAATTTGTTAAAATTCATTGCCTTGAAATCTACATCCTATTACGCAAAAGCACTTGATGCAAACAAAGATGTGCAGTATGTTCAAATTTAGCTTTATGCATGGTCCAATTTTGGACATCAAAACCTTTTCAAAGGTTAACATACACTACCACAGTGGATTTTTTAAATATCTAGCTCAAACCTTACGTCACAAACAGGACAAAAATCTTACTTGACTGATCCGTTTACCTTCAATCTTACTTTCCAAAACCTACTTATCTGAATTCCAAAACTGGCAGAGTGATAGTTTGATTCAGTATCCCAATTTTATATATCGAAAATAAAAATAACTACAGTATTTTAATTCTTGTACTTCAAGAGCCAGTGATTTCTTTTATTTTCCCTGGTTCCCTTGTGGAAAAGCAATCATTGTGGCTAGGTGTCAAGGCATCTTTATGCTATCTGCTTTTTTGCACACAATGGAAACTTTTGAATAGTTAAAAGTGCTTAGTTTATTGTTTGGATAGATTTTCCAAGAATCAAAACAGCTTTAGTGACATTTAGCCTTGTATTTAATAATTTTGCACTCTAATTAATAAAGCAGTATATATGACAGTCAATAGTCTTCTTCATAAGAAGAAACCATGCCCTAGTACGAGCACGCATCTGCTTGCGCCTCACTGGACGCAAAAAAGCCACACAAAAATGACTCATTAGAACCGAATTGAGTAATGAGAAAACCAAAAGTAGGTTCCAGGAACAACTGAGGTCACACTTAGGTAGTTCTGAAAACGAGGCTGACCCCGATGTTGATTGGAAAGACATACAAGCAGCTGTGGAAACAGCAGTGACATCTACTAGTGATTTAAACCACAGGGTTACAAAGGACCAATGGATTTCTTCAAGGTCTATTGCACTGATAGATTCTCGCAAACTCATCCCATCAGGTTCTGAACACGATGAAGAGCGTAAAGAAATCAGATCTAGGTTAATTAAAAGTTTAAGGAACGATCGTGAGCAGTGGTGGGCAACGAAAGCAAAAGAGATGGAAAAGGCGGCGGCTATAAGGAACACAAGACAACTCTACAGACTAATAAAAGAAACTGGAATTAATAAATCAAGTGTAAGTCAGACTATTTCGGAAAAAGACGACACTCTCATCTGCTCCCAGTCCAGACGTTTAGAACGATGGGCGGAACATTTTAAGGAGCAGTTCAGTTGGCCCTCAGCTACTCTACAACTACCCTCTATTCCCAGACAGTATGAATGGAACATTGAAGTAGGTCCCCCAACTCTAGCTGAAGTTCAAAAGGCTATAGCTAATCTGAAACGAGGAAGGGCAGCTGGTCCAGACGGATTGGCCCCAGAGGTCTTTAAGGATGATGGTCTAGTTTTAGCGATTAGGTTGACTAATATTTTAGCTAAAATCTGGGAGTTAGACGTCATCCCATCTAACTGGTCACAATCACTTATCGTCCCAATATTTAAGAAAGGGTCAAAATCATCCTGTGACAACCACAGAGGGATTAGTTTGACTAATATAGTATCTAAAATACTAGCTTCGATAATTTTCGGACGCCTAACTAAGACTCGTGAACTGCAAACACGTGAAAATCAGACTGGCTTCAGACCTGGTCGTGGCTGCATCGACCACATATTCACCAGTCGTCAGGTTCTAGAACACAGGCATACTTATCGGCGTCCGACAATGATGGTCTTCCTTGACTTAAAAGCAGCGTTTGACTCTGTTGAACGAGAGGTTCTCTGGCAGTGTCTGTCATTGAAAGGCGTACCTCAGAAGTACATAAACCTTGTGAAGGCTCTTTACTCGAACACTACTAGTCGGGTCAGAGCTTATGGCGAACTGTCATCCGCTTTTGCAACCTCAAGTGGGGTCCGTCAAGGCTGTCCACTTTCTCATTTTTTGTTTAACTTTATCATTGATCTACTGATGGAAATAACGCTCTCATCGACTGAATTCTCAGGTATTGATCTCCTACCAGGAGGTCCACTCATTGACTTAGAATACGCAGATGACATAGTCCTGTTTGGTGAAGACTCTGATGAAATGCAGAGTCTTTTGGTAGCACTGAGCAACAATGCCAGAATGTTTGGGATGCGCTTCTCTCCCTCCAAATGCAAGTTGTTGCTTCAGGACTGGTCTGCGTCAACACCTGAACTAAGGATAGGGGGTGAAGTAGTCGAACGCGTCGACAACTTCACTTATCTTGGAAGTCTGATCAGCCCTAATGGGTTGGTGTCTGACGAAATCTCAGCACGGATTCGAAAAGCTCGCTTGGCCTTTGCCAACTTACGTCATCTATGGCGAAGGCGAGATACTCGTCTATCAATTAAGGGACGAGTATACTGCGCGGCAGTTCGTTCCGTTCTACTATACGGCTGCGAAACTTGGCCTTTAGGAGTAGAAGATATTCGTAGGTTACTAGTATTTGATCACAGATGCCTTAGAAATATTGCGGGTATCTGCTGGGATCACCGGGTAAGTAATAGTGAGGTTAGACGCAGGGTATTAGGAAATGATGGTAAATCAGTTGATGAGGTTATGAACCTTCATCGACTGAGATGGTTTGGCCACGTGCTGCGTATGCCCGAACACAGATTACCACGACGCGCAATGGTAACCGGTGTTAGGGATGACTGGAAGAAAGTTAGGGGCGGCCAAACCAAAACGTGGCATCAGTGCTTGAAGTCACTAACTTCTGGTCTGAGCCATGTTGGTAGATGCAGACTACCTGGTTGGGGTCCGCTTGACTATCGTAACCAATGGTTGGAGACTCTTGGTGACATGGCTCAGAATCGATCACAATGGTGTCGGTGTATACTCTCTCTGTCTTCCTTTAAACTAAGAGATTAAAATCACTTCAAATCTTTCTTTCTAGGAACTAATTCTATCTTCCTGTACTATCTCCTTATACACTCTTTCTTCTATATATTACCACCACTGAATTAACTACTATGAATCCGGTGTTCATCTTGTTGTGCTAATGCGGTATGGGAACTTGGACCGATGCATATACGTGCCTGGTCCTACGTTGCAGCTGACTGACTGACTGACTCATAAGAAGAACCGTTAGCAAACAAACCGCAATCGTCATACTTCTTTTAGCCACTTAATACTGAGACTTTTATTAATAGTCACGTCAGATACTTTCTAATTTCGGTGTTGGAAGTGCTCACTGTTTTTTGTAGCCTAACTTGTAGTATGTTGTTTTAAATTCCTCAGTCTGCTGCTGCATTGTGCATTAAAGTGGGAAGTTTCTCAGATCCAGTAGAAGCTCAGGGCTTATCGCATTTTTTGGAGCATAGTAAGTTTTATTAAGCTAATACTGTTGAAAATTTTGTGTATTTCTATGTATATTTTATACTTGTAAGAAGTACCGATTCCTCATATTTTCTCACTTCTTGAATCACTACCACTCAAAGTGTCGATCCAAGAAAGTAATTGGCTCAGACCAGACCATAAAAAGACCTTTTTTTTCACTGTTTAAGTGATTACTATTTGTTTACATCAGTTTAGATGATGTTATAGTTTATTACACAACAGTGAAATTCCTCGACTTATCACGTGCCTAACTGTTGTTAGCTCACATTTACAAAATATTACCTAATGTTTCTCTATATAAGTCTGTCAGGAGTATGTTGTTTTGATTCAAGTAAAGCGTATCTGTGGTAAATAATTGTGGCATTTGTACTGTAAGATGAATTTACTTAAGAATTAATGTGTTAATTTCCTACTTAAAATATAACATCCTATTTGATGCAAATCATCATTTAGTAATATTATACATATATTGATTTTTATTTTCTTTACAGTGGTATTTATGGGTAGTTTAAAATATCCAACAGAGAATGATTTTGATGCATATCTTAGTCAGCGTGGTGGAACTAATAATGCTTGGACAGGGAATGAATACACTTTATTTCATTTCGATGTGAAACGTAAACATTTTGCCAGTTGCCTTGATAAATTTGCCAACTTTTTCATTTCACCACTTTTAAGCAAAGATAGCACAGATCGTGAGATAAATGCAGTTAATAGCGGTAAGTAAAGTATCCCTTGAGTATTTATCATATATATAGTTCTACTAAGATTTGTCTGTGTACATATATAGGCGATTCAACTTCTGTATAATAGTTATATGAACACTTATTTGACCATTATTGTACTTTTGTCTCAAATTGAATTCACACATTTAAAGTGTACATAACGTAAGGGATATTCACTTGAAGATGATTTGTAGAGATTAGTTGCATATGTAGGTTGTATTTATCATAGATTTATCTGTACCACTGAAAACCAGGGGACTATTGGGGTGTGACTGGTGTGCAGATGTATCAAAGGTGAAACGATTGTCACCAATGTCATTGCATGACCGTCCCTGTCACAAGTTGGTCAAGATTGAAATTTTACTGTTATGCTAGCCCATTGGTTCTTATGGTTAAACGTTCACTGCAAGACCTGAACATACTGGATTCAATTCTGGATGTGTGGTTGTGGTCGCACATTACTGAGGAGCCCCATAACATGGCGAACCAGCTATTTAGCATGTTATGTCCGAACGAAAAGTAAGTGAATGGTAACTGCTGAAAATTATTTGTGGGCTATTATTATATATATTCCTATTGGATAACTATTAAGTAACTAGATTATATGTATATTCATATTCCTTTTATCACTAACTTTCGTTTGACCCATTAAACACTATTATACGATTTATTATTCTCAAGTTACTCCCAGTCTGTTAGTTACAGTCGTACACTCACAGCCACTCTTGGCTGAATCTTGTATAATTATTAATTTTCATTTTATGGTGTGATGCGGTCTGATTTGTTTGTATATAAACTACGTATTATATTATTAATACAGTTTTTTCCTTTTTTACAGAATTCGAACTGGCATACACCAAGGATTCTTCACGACTTCACTATTTAATTGGTCATTTGTCTCGTAAAGATTCTCCCTACAAACTGTTCGGTTATGGTATATATTTTCATCTTTTATTGGCTAATTTTTTATATGTATATGGTTCACCCTTCACTGTTCGATGCCTTCAAATGTGAATTATCAAAATTCTTGTTTTAAGTTTGTCATGTGTAAATTATCTTTGAGATTGTTTCTTATCCTCTTTTGTCTTCAGGCAATTGTAAATCGCTACGTGAAATCCCGGAACAAAATGGTACTGATATTTATTCACTTTTGAATAAACATCGAAAGAATTTTTATTCTTCTGACCGAATGACACTTGCTGTACAGTCAAAACGTAAGTCTCTTTAAAGTGTATATACTTTAAGGAGTTGAGCTGAGTTGATAGTTGGTTCGATATATGCTTTTAATATTTTTTTTAGAAATCTAAACTTTTCGTTTGGAAGAGTATTCTGCTGCATTTGGATGTTGTTGTACACCTTATTTTATTTCTAGCATATGTGTTGATATAGTAGGATACCAATAACAGCGGCACAAATATAATGGTGATCCTATTGTGGCTGAAGAGAAAAGTGGTGGCTCAATAAACAAAGTGTTTAATAATAGATTATGTCCATTTAAAAATACAGTCAAGAAGAACTTGATTGGGTTGGTAAAGTTTGTCTCAATTTTTTTTGTTCAAAAAGTGTGATGAAAAACTACTGGGTTTTATTTCCATCCATGCCTGATAACGTCTCACGTCACTGAGTTTTGTGGTCTCTAGGACTCAAACCATACAGTCTTCATAAACTGTAAATTTCCACACCTATAGCGAAATATCTTTCATTCGACGATTTCATGTCATAAGCTAATCATATGTACTTTCGTTTAATCCAGATGCACCATCGCAAACAATACAGTGTGAAGGTCATTGGGATTAAATTCATAAAAAAAAGACACATTCAAGCCACCGAAATCGATATTTTAAGACTGATAGTGTTGTATCTGTAGAAGATTAAATTATGGTTAACTTTCAGGAACTATTTATAGACTATTATAATTATACTCTTATTGTATAACTGTTGAGTAACTATATTATATGTATATTCATATTCTTTTTATCATGAATTTTCATTTGATCTATTGACTACCATTATACGATCTACTATTCCTAAGTTATTCCCAATGTATTAGTTACAGTCTCTCACACTCACTTTCGGCTTGATCCTGTATAATAATTATTTTTCATTCTATGGTGTGATGCGGCCTGGTCTACTTGTATTTAAACCACGTATGTTTGAAATATGTGGTCCACACAGCAGAGGCTGAGATTGCATTCTGTACTCAACGAGCGGGGCTAGGCGAGAAGTTACTGTTTTGGGGACCAATAAGGACTCAGGGTTGACGCAAGGCTGCTAGTGCTGTCTTGACGTTTCATTGCTTAGTGTAGGCCCAAGGGCTGATTGGCGATTTTATCACGTGATAATTGACGAGGGCAAAATACATAACAACTGGCGGTGGGGATTTCGGGAGTTAAAAACAAATTAATAACAATAATGGTAGCAGTGAAAAGAAATAAAAGGCACTCTCTTCTGAACAATTACAGTTACCATTACAGCAGTAGCAGCAGAGGATGTTCGTTTCTCAACAGCGACTCCTGGAAGCAGTTTTGGGGAGACTTTCTACTCAACCAGATATTTCAGGACACAGTTAGAGAGTCATATCTCAGTCAAAACTCGGAATTTGTTTTCGATGCAGATAGTGGTCATAATTTTGGGGCATGGTTTGGCAGAATGGAAGATATTTTCCAAGTACAATTTATCACTTTGGACGACACAAAGAAAGTCAAGTTGCCGTTACAGAAACTTGGTCCCAATAAGCATCAAAAGTATAAAAATCCTATCCTGCCTAAACGTCCACGAAAAGTCAATTTCGATAGAACTGTCAACGTTTTGAATAAAATGCTTCGTGATCAGATGTCACCATTTCATATTCGGTATAATTGTCTACAGTTGACTAAAGGCCCCCAAATGCCATGGTACGTCCGAGAGTGGGGAGAGTCCGCTCGCCCTCTCGAAATGCTCTCACATGGCCACGCGTGTATAGTCTCTGCCAGGGAAGTCCTACTCACTGCCTTCTCGTGGCGGGGGTGTTGTTTACGAAAATGAGAGGACGAAAAGCGAATGTCCGGCGCTTTAACTGGATCCAAAATCAATGGTGCACATGGGCTCCAGTGTCCTGAGGGAACAAATGGCGTATGAACCAATCGTTTGTCACCGGCTACCATGGGACTGCATCTCCTTATGATGCTCCACTGCCTTGTAAGTCATGTCTTCAGGTCGGAGGCTCGGGGTGTGGCCCCTTCAGAAAACCACCTACTTCGGTTCGGGCACCCGGGCAGTATCACAGTCCTCACATATATTAAATGAGATTTGTGTGGCGCATATGTATTTGGTGCCTCCTTCTACCAATATCTGTGTTAAAATAGACAAATAAATATTTGACTAAAGAATCTGATGAAGACTACACTACTCACGCTGGTAGAGTAAATTTACGAGCAGAACGGTCTAAAATAAATGTATTATCCAGTGATCAATTTAAATACTTATTATTCATTTCCGGTCTGAACTGTCCCATCGATGCTGACTTTCTCATGCGGTCGTTATCCCGTATGGAACATGACAATGAAATGACGCTGCAATCTGTTACTGAGGAATGTCAATGATTAATAAATCTTAAACAGGATACAACTATTCTGAAAACCAAAGGTGCGGTGCCATCTAACCATTCTGTTCATGCTGCTAAGACAGGTCAAAGACAAAATAGTACCAAGAGTTATATATTTCACTCTAAAATTTTCAAACCTTCAACTAAATGTTGGTACTACGATGCTTGGCATTTCTCGGGAATTCGCCGGTTTAGAAATCACATGTCTTGTATACAATAAAGTCGGTCATAAAGAAACAGTCTGCCAAACTAGAGAAGTTTGAGATCAAAGCCGACGGAGCGTCTTCACTAGTATTAAAACAAGTATATAAACAATATATACGCTACGCTGACATTAAGCATAGATGATAAAATAATGTATTTTGAATTATTAGTTAATGGTGTTCATATTCGATTACGATTGGATACAGCATCAGATATCAGGTTAATTTTTAAACGATTATATAATCTAATTGACTGTCCACAAAAATTGCCAACTGAGCATACAGCTCGGAATGCATCTGGAGACTTATATTAAAGCTTTTTGGAATGATAGAATGCTTTGTTGTATTCCGAGACAACTTAACAAACAATTGTTACTTAACGAACAGACATGATTTTGACCTCATTAGTATAGACTGGATAGACAAACTAAATCTGTTGGATGGACCCTTGAGCGAAATATGCACGATGAAAAGCCCAAATAATCCTGGAGATCTGCCTATCGTTCATGTAACTGGAAAGCTATAACGATAGAAGACCTTTTGCGGAAACATACAAACTTTTTGCAGAATAAGTTGGGACGCTGCATAATTGAAATTGTAAAATTGTACTTACGTCGAGTCCTGTATGCAGCTATCGGCAAAGTTAACAAAGAATTAGACCAACTAGAGAAGCTCGGTGTTGTACAACTTACCAGCCATTATAATTCAAAGCTTGAAATAATTGTGGCCACTGACTCTTCAAACTATGGAATTGGAGCTGTCACCAGTCATCGTTTTCCTGATGGTAAAGAAAAGCCCATTGCTCATATATCCCGAACTCTTAATCCAGCTAAACGAAAATATAGTCAAATTGAAAAAGAACGATTAGCTTTAGTTTTTGCAGTAAAAAAATTTCATAAAATGATTTATGGTCGTCGGTTTACCCTTTCAACGGATCACAAGCCGCTCGTATCTGTATTTGGATCAAAGTCGGGTATTCCTGCATATGCAGTAAATCGATTATGACTCTGGGCTATTACATTACGTACCTATGATTTATAAATTTTATATAAATCAACAGAAAATTTTAGATAAGCTGATGCTTTATCTCAACTAATTGCGAATCAGAAGCAGAAAAGTGAAGGTTCTATTATTGCAACGATATCGTTGGAAGAGGATATTCATCAAATACTACAAGTTTCTGTAAAAGCAACACCATTATCCTCTGAAGATATTAAATGCTATATTCAAGAAGAGGACGATCTGAAACAGATTATTAGTTACCTCGAGCATGGGTGGTCTATTCATATAGACAACAAAAATACTGAACATTATGCTCATTGACGGATTTCTCTATCACTTGTGGACGTATGCCTGATGTTTGGAGACCGGGTAGTTATACCCACGAGCGTACATCGTAAGGTGATGTTAGAACTGCATGCTGCACACACAGGGATAGCACGGATGAAAGCACTTGCACGTAGATACGTCTACTGGCCAAATGTTAATACTCAAATAGAAGAAAATATTGCGAAATTTTCTTCATGTGCTCAAACCACTAAAGCCTTTTGAAAGACAAAAATGAAAAGTTTGGGAGCTCCGACAAAGCCATGGTCAAGAGTGCACGTGGATTTTGCCGGTTTCATAAAAGGGAAACAGTTCTTGGTAATTGTTGATGCTTCCTCCAAATGCCCAGAAGTTCACTACATGAAGTATATATTGACGAAAGCTACTGTGGAAAAATTGAGACAAGTATTCAACGTTTTTTGTGTCCAGAGGTATCGGTATCGGATAACAGACCGCAGTTTACCTCTGCGGAATTCTCCAAGTTTTCCATCGCCGGGGCCGTTAGGCATATCAAGACTCCTCTACCATCTTCAGTCTAACGGGTTGAGAGGTTTGTGGACAGCTTTAAAAAGCACTACTTGAAGCTAAGGGAGAAGGAGAAATGAAGGATGTCATTCAAAGAATTGCTAACTCACAGCGCAATTCCGAACCCAGCAACAGTTAATCACGGTAGTCTAACAAAACCGATTTTTGGAAGGAAAATTAGAGTACCAATAGAACAAATAAAACCAAGACCCAAAAATGTCTCCGCAACGATAGAAGAATGGAACAACAATTTAATAAGCGATATGGTGCATTGTTCAGAGAGTTCAATGTGGGGCAAACGGTAGTAGGAAGAGATTTCCATGGAGTAAAGTCAACCTCAAAGATCAGGACTGATCTGCAGAAAAGGAAATGTCATTTATGAAGGAAAAATCGGAGAACAGATATGGGCGCAGCATGAAAACCAACTTCGGCCGACTAGACAAGAGTGGGTGACTGGGATTGATTTAATGCCGGATATATCATTAAACATAGCTGAATTGGATAATGAAACTAAAAGGGACCCAGTTAACAAGAGAAAGTGTAGGATGCCTCCAAGGCGGTCTCAGCGCACTGGGTAGCTGTTTTTCCCTAATATGAAACTCATCAACGATGCTCGTCCACAATATCCAACGGTACTCGAACCCGATCAGTAACATATTAATTGTATTGAGGATGGTTACGCAATATTGCGAACTAACTAAAGTTAGACGTGTAAGTCGTTTGATGCTATGTCAGTAGTCCAAACGTTGAGTGTTCGTCGTTAAATCTGAATGTATTGGGTTTGATCTCCTTTGGTATCGTGAGTGCATATTGCTAAGCAGTCTCATATTAGGAAAAAATAGCTTTCTAATCCTTTCTTATTTTTAAATGATTTTTTTAATTCCAGCTATTTCACACTGTAAACAACCAAGTTCAATACTCTCAGTTAACATATTTTGATCGTGAGTAAATTAGTCAATACGTGTACAACTGATTTACTTGCTCTTTTTAACCATAAATCTAAGCACAATCCAACTCGACAGTATCGTCTTACTTTAGTAAATTTTTGAAATCACGTGTAAAAAACTCATCAACATTTAGCTAATCAGTCTCTTCATTATTGTTTACGTAATCACTTCCAGCAGTTGGATGCATAGTGAATAAGCAGGATATTTGTTTAATTTTAACATAACACTATATATATTGCAAGTTTTAATAGTCGCTTCTCATTTAACTGGAAATCTTAAATTAGTTGTTTGAATTCTCAACTATCAGCACTCGTTAAGATAACTGAAATATCGGAATAAAACAACGTCGAGCATGTAAACTGAAATCCGAAAATATTTTGACTGTTAAGTTTTGTGATTCATTTTTAACAAGGAAAAAGCGTAGTTGTGTAGTTTGAATAGAGTCGTTATAGATTAGCGCTGTACAGTGGTAGTAGTTACTCACCTCTTACAACGCTCTATTCCACAGGAATTAAAATTTTATTAAAAAGTACAAATTCAAATTCAATTAGTTTATTTGCTTGTTTTTTTTTAAAAAAAATCACTTTTCAGATCATTTAGACGATCTGGAAGTATTGGTACGAAAAATTTTCTCTGATATACCAAGAATGTAAGTTGTATGATAATATATTATCATTATTAAGAAGAACTTTCACCTAATAGTAAATGTATTTTTTTTTATCCTAATGAGTAGAAAAATTGTATTCTTGATTTTCCGTGACTTAATGTAAGCCATTACTTTACTCTAAAGTAGTGGCTAAGATTAAGTCACAAAACACCAGAAATACAATCTTTCTACTCATTGAATTGAATTCTAAGTAAATTTAACATCTCGCACTCGGCTACCTGGTCTAAATTTTTCTCAAGGAAATATAATAAAATTATCGAATATAAATAAGTATATGGCTCCCTGGTTAACTATATACTAAACAGGTCATCCGATTATGTTGAGAACGTTAAAAGGAAAAAATTTGCTATAGTACCTATGAGATATCTGGTGTGTAAAGAAAACTATGTTTAGATAACATAACCCTGTTTGATTATATATCCTTGGGAAAGCTTAAACCAGATTGTTGAGTGAAACGATGAATTTACGTAAAATTCAATCACTGAGATTTTACAAATGTGATTTTCATCCTTAATTTATTATGAATATTATTCAATAAAATGCTTTGTAGTGTAAGGGATATGTAGAGATTGTCGAATTGAATAGTTTACATCACAAACTGACCTTAGTTATAAAATCATTGAAAAGTAGGAAGGACTACACAACTATTTCGTTTTAGTACTGTAGTAGTGATGATCAAGAGGTAATTCTTGAAATCCTACTGGTAAACCGTGACTTATGGAGTTCAGTCGTGTCGGATATGAGGCTTTTACCCACCAGTGATATTGGTAGGTGGTTGCGCAATATTACGGACTGACTGAAGTTTTAGATGTGAAGCATCGGATGCCAACTCATATTGGTCTTATAATTGAACGCTCATGTCGATGCCTAAAAGTTCTGGTTTTGGTTGATGGTGTCGTCGCGGCTGTGCACGGCTATGGAGTCTCACAGTAGGACGAAATAGCCGTCTTATACCTCTTGGTTTTCAATGGTTGTCTAAGTACGACCAGTTCGTGATGTAAGCCGTAGGCATTGGACCGTTGAATACAGCACCTTACTCTACCTAAATTGAGATGGGAAACCAGATAGTCTTTTTATAATCCCTACACGCAACAAATGTATGGCCTTACACGTGAACCTTTGTATATTTACTGAATGACATTAGACTATGAGCCATATTTTTTGTGAGAGTGAGTAAGCGAATACTACCTTTATCATCTGATTACGTACATCTTAATATGTGGATAAATATTTTTGCAAACTGTTATCTCACTGTATACGAAGTGTTTAATTTAATAAACTATAGTTTTGCTAAGGAGCATGGATTGACTTGATATCCTGACACTTTCTATTATACAAAATTAATACAAGTTGAAATTCTACATGTACATGTTGGAAATAAGAAATTCCCAAATGCCAACTTATAAGAATTTAAGGTGAATTCAAGGTCAACCTACAACATATTGTCGTTACCATTATTCAGTGACAGTTTATTCAGTTCATAAATTAAAAGCTTAGTCATCAGTTTGTAACTAATTAATTTAAGTACTTTTTTAATTCTCTGTGGGTCTCGTTCAGCAAAACTTGTATGCAGAAAATATACCTCCCAATCTATCTGACGGGGTAGGAAAGAAGAGGATAAAGATAGTCTCGTTTATTGTGTTGGAGTTGGAGATACAAAATGGTAGTTCAGCATACGAGTAGTATATAATCTAAATTCATAAGCTAATCGATTAGTAGATACAAATGGGTCTTAATAGCTTTGCTAATTTAAAACTAAAATAGAACGAGAACGATATGATTAAACAGTATCAAATAATCACAATCTTACTTAAATAGTACAACCAATAAGTATGTCGTTGTTGGGCTTCAATCCTTACTCATGTAAGCTCTTCTCCACGGCAACAGAAGTGTCCAAACTATTAATCAGTACCTTCGACATACTTTAGAATTATACTTAATTATATCCTTTTCTAACTTGATTGAATAAACGATGATACCTAGTGGTCAAGGGGTTCGAGTCTCAGTCACTATGTCTCTGGTTTGAACTTCATTTCACTTCGGTTTGGACAATCATGTAATATCATCAGCCCTCACATTTAGGATGCTCAAGTACATGTTGAATGGGTTTTATTTAAATATAATCTTCTCTAAATGCTTCCAGAACCATCAAGTTATCTGTTACCCTTATAAATAACCTTTAATCTGCTCCCAAAAGCAAAATATGAGGAGTGGGATTCTAACATGATATTTATTTATTTAAATGCATAAATATTGGTAAAAATGAGCATCAAAATATGTATGTACCACACAATAGCAATACGGTTGTAAAGAGATAGAGAAAGGAGGGTGAGTATAATAAGAAACGAATAGAAATCAGTGTGCGAGAGTGAAGTAATAATAATAATAATGGGTGAAGCAATTCAGTTAACAAAATACTACCAGAAAGGATTCTTTAAGTTAAAGAAGTTACGTTCACTTTTATGAAGAAAGTAAAATAAGGTTACAGCAAGATCTCCACTAGTTTCGATTATGGGACGTCTGATAACGTCTTAAGCCATTGTATCTCACTTTCTCTAGGACCCCAATCAGTGAGTCTTGAAGGCTCAACAGATTCCAGTCCTGTACAGCTTTCTTCCATACTACGACACTGTGTCATATACTGACTATCTCTCCGCTTTCGCCAATCGGTCCCGTAGTCTGCAAATAATGCAGGGTGTGAAATTCGTTGGGGAAAGCTGGTAACGAAGCGTTGTCATCTCTGTACCATATAGATCACATAAAGTATTACTATGGCAAAACTAAGTTGATAGAATTATCTTTTGACAACAGTTGGACGAAAAATATCCATCGAATAAGTCTTGAATTGTAGTTTTGATTACATAATGCTTATTTATCTTTTGTTCTTGTGTTCCTTTTTTATTGTTTAATTCTAGTGGACTACCTGTGACAAACTTTCAATGTGTTGAACCTTTTGATGTTAATTCATTTGCTAAATTATACAAAGGTGAGTATAAAACATAGTTTCTGCCTTGTATTGGTCCGGCAAAATCAGCGTGTATTCTTTGCCAAGGCCCGTCCGGTTTTGGCCATGGTTGTGGTTCTGCTTTCGTTGGATTCTTCGCAGCCTCTGGACAGGACCAGCAACTGCGACATTTTTGTTCTATATCACGGTCCATTGACGGTCAGTATGCATAGCTGCGAGCTAGTGATTTCATTTTACTTATCCCCGGGTGCCCGCTGTGAAACTGCTTAATGACTTGGTGCCGAAGACTTCTGGGGATAACGATACGGTGGCCAAACATGATGCACGAGTCGACAACTGTTAAGGAATCTCGTCGACGAAAATATTGTAAGAGTTCGCCACGTAGTCTAGATGAAGGCCACTTGTTGAGTATGCAGCGATGAACAATCTTCAATGTATTATCCTTCTTGCTAGCTTCTTTAATGGCTTCGAATGTTACCGGGAGTCCGGAAACTGCGTCTGTTAATACTTTGTGAACTTCAGCCTCTACTTCTATGGCAGCTACAAGCACGTCCTCTTCTTGTTTTGCATTCGAATCAATCGACCTTGAGAGGGCATCTGCCTGTCCGAAGTCGGTTGTTGGTTGGTACTTTATCTTGAAATCATAACCCAGTAGCGTAGTTGCCCATCGCTGTAAACGGTTTGCTGTATATACAGGGATACCTTTTTTAGATCCGAAAACCGTCAGTAGCGGTTTATGGTCTGTTAGTAAGGTGAACTGTCTGCCAAACAGCATCTTGTGGAACTTTTTTACTGCGAATATGATGGAGAGAGCTTCTTTCTCAATCTGACTGTAGTTTCTTTCAGTCATAGTCAGCGATCTTGCTGCGTGGGCGATCGCCTTCTCAGACCCGTCAGGATAGGTATGTGAAATTACAGCTCCGATCCCATAATTTGACGCATCTGCCGCAACTATAATTGGAAGATCTGGGTCATAATGTGTAAGTAGGAGGTTTGATGATAGGAGCTGCTTTAGTTTTAGGAATGCTTCTTGACATTCGGTTGACCAGAACCATTTGGTATCCTTTTTCAGTAAGCAATTAAGTGGAGCACGAAGGCGATGCAGATCTGGAAGAAAGACACCATAATGACTAACCATTCCCAAGAAAGAACGTAAAGTTGATACATCCGTCGGTGGGGGCATGGACTTGATGGCTTCAACGTTTTCAGGATCAGGTTTTCTCCCGTTTTTATTGATTATGAATCCCAAATAACAGACTTGCTCCATGTAAAAATCACATTTTTCAGCACGCAACCTGAACCCATAATCTGCTATGCGTCTGAGCACCGTGTCCACCTTACTCTCTAAGTCAGCATAGTCTGTACCCATGATCAGTATGTTATCGAGATAGGCCGCAGTACCAGGAATATCTTGTAACATAGTATCCATAACTTGTTGGAAGATTGAAGGGGCGGTTTTTACTCCAAAAGGAAGTCTGTTATATCGGAACAATCCTTTATGAGTGTTTATTGTCAGGTAATGCCTACATTCTTCCGCTACTGGAATCTGTAGATAAGCTTCTGACAGGTCTAATTTTGCAAAATACTTACCCCCATTCAGTTTTGCAAATAAATCTTCTGGTACCGGCAAAGGGTATTGATGGCCTTCAAGCGCTTCGTTTAATCCAGTCGAATAATCTGCGCATAGCCGGATACTTCCGTTTAGCCTTTTGACAATCACTATCGGTGCTGCCCAATCAGAAAAGTTCACTGGTTCTATTATTCCACTTCTTTGCAGACGCTCTAGTTCTTGTTCAACAATAGGTAACGCTGCATAGGGTACAGGACGTCTTGGTCTGAAAACGGGGGTGACTCCCGGTTTACGAATTAGTACTGCTTTTGCCTTTTTGCACTCCCCCAATTCTTCTGTAAATACTTGACTATGTTTTTCTAACACAACATTCTTCAGATCCTTCCCAACTGGTTTACTGGTTCTTACGGCGCTGCATATGTGGTTAATGTAGTGTTTCTAATAGGTCTAGACCCAGCAAATCTAGTCCTGGGTTCTCTGTGAGATATAGTGTTGCCTTTGTCTTCGCGTTTCCTTTTAAAACTGTGCAACAAACCTCTCCAAAAATGTTCAATTTTCCTCCAGAAGCACTATGAGCTAACTGGGTTGTCGGTAACACCTGTGGTTTTCCGATAAGTTTCCAGGTTCGTCGACTGATAAGCGTGATGTCGGAAGCAGTATCGAGCTGCAGGCGGGCACGCTTTTTATTTATATCTACGTCCACATACTTTCGTCGGCGGCAAATTCGTGCTCGATTATGTGATACCAATACTTTGTTAGTTAGTGCATTATGTCTGTATTTCTTGAGATAGGGCTTCGAAGAATGTCGTTTATGGGTTATTTTTCTGCATCTGTTTTCTTTATGGCCCTTCCGGTGACATTTACTGCAATAGTATTCTCTGTATGGGCAGAACCTTTTATAGTGCCAACCTCCACACGACCAACATGGAGATGAGGGCTGATTGTCTGTGTGTGATGATTTTCTTGAGCCGGCATCTTTCTTTCCACTTACAGCATGAACGTATGACAATTGGCCATTATTTTCGACCATGGAAGTGTCGTGTTTTAAGTTTACCAATCTCTGGCACTCTGTGGTTACTTCCTGTAGTGTTATGTTTGGACATTGTTCAATTTTACTCAAAATTCTGGTTCTAATATCGGCATCTTCAGGAGATTGGAGGCTGCACACGAACACTAGACACTTAAACTGATCTTCTGTCAGTGCTTATAGTTTGAAGCGCTCACATTCACGGTTTACTAACCCTGCATGCTTCACCCAGTCATCGTCACCTGCTTTTGTTATCTTGAGACATTGATAACGAATATTGAACAAGGATGACTGTTCAGCGAATATTTGCGATAAAATTTTGATCGTTGCATCAAAAGAAAAATCTCTTGGATTCTTTGGAAGGATCAAGTTACTGTAACGTTCATGTTCAACAGTTCCAAGTTTTCGTAAGAGTATTCTGACCTTAGCGGCGTCATCAAGTTTTTTGAAATCGACCTTGAACAAATCTTCATATTTGTTGAACCAGGTTTCAAAAGTAATACCAGCTGAAGCATCGAAATTAAATTCATGGATAGAATCGATGATGTGGTCAACATGAGATTTGAAGGGATCGTCTGCAACTTCTTTTTGATTCAGGTTCATTTTCTGGGTCAGTGTTTCTATTATGCGCATCTGGAACTGTTCGAAACGTTTTTCTTGACGTTCCAGTAAGGCTTCAAGTTGTTCAAAGGTAAATGACATCTTGATATGATAACCCCGTCGCCAGTTGTTATATCTAGAAGGTTGATTACTTGATATAACGCGTATAACTGAACACAAGAACGCCAAAACCCTTCCAAGTCGCAAGGAGAAGACAGAAGACTAGTGAAAGGAATGTTATTCCAAACAGTGTCAATTATGGGTACAAATTGTCAGGTATTTATAGTTTTTAGTAAGAATACAAATCATCATTATAGTCCTCCAATCCGCATACAGGGGGTTATTAGCCTTGTCCAATCGGGAAGCTACACGTAGGAGTTCTAGAATATTCTTCCTAACAGTGATTGGATGGAATATCTTCGGCTCCTTCAGAGCCTATTATAGCTTCCTCGAGTTTACCCGTGGTCCGTCGTCACAGAGGGCCACACCCGGAGCCTTTGACCTGGAGGTCTACTCCATAAGGAGATGCAGTCCCATGGTAGTCGGTGACCAACAATGAGTTCATATGCCGTTTGTTCCCATAAGATCCTGAACCCCGTGTGCACTATAGGTTTGGAATCAGGGTTTTCCAACTACCTTAGGTGGACCCTCCATATGCTCTAATCCGGTTAAAGCTCTGCGCATTCGCTTTTCGTCCTCTCGATTTGGTAAACAACACCGGTGCCGCAAAAAGGCAGTGAGTAGGACTTCCCTGGCAGTGTCTGTATACACATAACCATATGAGAGCATTTCGACAGGGAAAGCGGACTCTTCTCACCCTCGAGCCGTACCAATGCATTTGTTTTATATCCCAATGTTACCCTAAGATGATTTACATCAATCAATTTTTAAATAACTTGACTTTCAAGCAGTATGCTAGGTAGGTTGGTTTAAAGGTCACTTTGCGTACTCTATATTGCCCAGTGGAATAGCATTACTATACCTCACATAAATAAAATGTATCTCAGAATTTCGAGTGAACAAACTTATGCATGATTAATAAAGTATTATTTAAGTTCTAGTGAGAAGTTTAAGCTGATGGAGTTTAGACAGGTTGGCAGTGAAAGAATTACCTACTAAATGGCATTGCATAGTCATCACCCTATATCACGAATTGACTGGAGTTACCTGTGTACTAATGGACGTCAGTCAAATAGTTATAATGATCATGAGTTTACTGTGAGATCTGAAGGTCCTGAATTCGATTCCTAGTAGGTTCATAGATGCTCACTGCCAGGGAGTACCATGCTAATACGAAACAACTATCTGGCGCTCTCTAATTTTCAATCGTACCCTAACTGAAATCAGTCTGTTCTAGATACTACCAATCCACTTTAATTAAATCTACAAATAACTGGCTAGTATTTAAAAAGAACATCGTTACTGTAGTTATTGGTTGGATTGAGAAACTTGTTACTCTAGCATTGTATTTGCATTTTTTTTCATCAACATTATATGTGATTTTCTTTCTGTATTTTTTTGTTTTGTTTTTAATGATGTTAACAGTTTGTCCTTTGAGTGTAAAAGAAAAAATACGTATTGTTTGGGTTCTTCCTCCACAAATCAATCATTATGAGTAAGTTGTGTTGATCATAATGATGAGTTTTACCAGTTAGTTAGCTGTTACTTTTGTTATCGTCGTTGCATAGGTTGTGAGAATTGAATAATTATGATTATTTCCAATAGTGTGGTTGATTGAAACACGTGAAGCTGCGGTTCGGGAGGAATAATAGGAATTGAAGAGGGAGGTTGATTATGAATACAGTGGTCTTGAGTGCTGTTAGAGGTATGAGGGCGGTTATCACTTCCCGGTTGCCCACACCGTGGAAGGGTTCTTCTGGAGGTACCTGAAAAGGAAATTGGATTAAAGGTGGTCATAGTGACCTGAGAGCGTGACCGCAGTGCCCAAGGGACAGCTGCTTGAGGTCGGTCACACACGACCTTTTTATGAGTGATTTTTGTGTTAGCTCCGTACTTGTTGAGTCCTTACCGCCGGAGACGGATATCCGTGGGATAAGGCGAGGTGTGCATTTTTAGGGTCGACCTTTTCTAACCCCACCCCTCCTTGTGGGAAGGCAGCATCGCTGTCATGCTGGTTGTCTGAAGGAAACACCTTACTGCTGTCACACCTCTGTACAGTCAGCAGTACGACTTCGCCTTCGGACCTTGGTTTTGTTGCTTTTAGTCTTACCGCTCTTCAACCGACCTGTCTGGCATGGTAGGACCTTGAGGAACGGTTGTTCCAGCCAGTATAGCTCAGTTGCTTCATCACGATAGGCAAGCCCGACCACCACGTCAAGGTAGCAACAACGGTCAGGCTGCGGTTCGGTGTTATTGTTGGTTGTGGAGATGTCTTACTGTCAATCACTTGGTCGTCAGTTCGACTGCCTCCCAACTACTTCAATCTGTGCACTTGGTTTCATTCAGTTATTGGTCCTATTATTATTGTTGTTATTACTCGAAATAAAGTGTATGAATCTGTACTCATTTATTGTATCAATTTGATTTAGTTGTCATTTAAACGATTAGTAACATATTCGTATGTTGTTTACCGTTCTTCTGAATTCTTGTATCATCGACTTAAGAAAATTCCGTATATATGTAGTGTTAGGCTAATTCTCATTTTGCTACTGGATTTACTCCCACTCAATAAATCTAAAAGATAAATATAGTTTAAGTTGGAATCAATGTGTTGCAAGTCACTTAACTCAATAAATCATACATTTATCAATCAACTGAATGAAGAGAAGAGAGGTTGGAGAGGTTGTTTTGTGAATACCGATATGAATACATAAATGAGTTATGAATAACTGACTGAGTGCATTCACAACCAATAAGAGAACAGATGAGAAATTGATTGATCACTGAGTTGTGACCAATGTCATATTTATCAAGTCCTCTTTAATGCTGATTGAATTTTATCGATCATGTTGTAATGCGGCCACTAGTCTAAGCGACTCGACATCGCGTGCACTATGTTGAAATGTGAGTTGGTGGTTGAAAGTAGTGGATAGGAAACTTTGGACTTAGGTTTCATGTTATTCGGCACTTGTCAGCAAGATGTACCTGTAATCTTGACGCCATTAATGCTCGATATAATTCGACCAGCACTGAAAAGTACTTGATATTTATGATATTGGTCACTACTCAATGATCAATCAGTTATAAATAAGTCTCACTCATACAGGAGATCACTCGTAGCCCGAATAGCTCAGTGGTAAAATCTTTGACTCTAAAGTTGGGTGACACGGAATCAAATCTATCAGGGAGTGTCAGTTCCCTTGAGATCACAGTTAAATATTGCTGGCGAGTGTTGAGTAGTACGAAAAGTAGGTGGAGTAGCGTTTCCTGTCGGCTACCTCCAACCATCACCGTAAAAGTGAATAGATAATAGGTATCAAGCATGCATGTATTTTCAAACATATATGGGTATATTTCCATGGCAGATTAAATATATGCCTCACAGTTAAGTGAATAATGTAAATGCAATGGTATACTTGTTTTCTCGATTGATGATCCTCATTACGTGAGTTGAGGTAGTTGAGATATTGTCTGGAAGCCTAAACTAAGAGATGTATTTTTCTTTAGGGACTATTCACCATGTGGCTCAATGTTTGAAGTTGAGATCCCACGTCTCATTCTTTTAAGACCCTGGAGCCTTTGTGCAACGTTGCCTTGGGACTAATGTTTATAAACGTTCCTGGATATTGGACTTCTATATACACCACGACAATTTGACCTTACTTTTGTTAAAAAGCACCTCAGTTTCATGTGAGCAGTGAATCAAACTTTCATGCAAAACACGGGGCTTTAGGTGTAAGCATTTAGAGAAGGAAATTAAACTCTCATCAACGCTAGTTATACTTTGGCGATTTAATTAAATGAGTTATTCACTCACAACTTCCCACATATAATCCACTGTCAGTTAACTTCTGGGAAATTTTCTAACTTGTTTTTCAAACATGTGTTTATTCTTAGTCCCGAGGTATTTCAACTCAATAATTTCACAGATTTGCTGGATTTTTTCATTGATAGGATTTATAGTATAACTAGATATTCAAAAGAAAATACATTGCATAATCATTGAAGTGCTATTATTTTGTATTACATCATGTATTTTTCCCGCTTCACTTCAGATCATCTCCAATGGAGGTGTTATCTTCCCTTATTGGTCATGAAGGTAGAGGAAGTGTATTGGCCTTACTTAAAAAAGAGTAAGCATTGTGTGTATTTATCATTACATTCATTATTAACTGGTAATCTGTAAAATGTTTCATAGATGCAGACTACTTGACCGTAAACTTTTTCATAATCACACTATCAGTGGTTGAAGATGGATTACCTGGCTTAGAATCAATGGTAATAGTACACAGATGTATCCATTCTTCGTCTTGCTGTAAATCTTGAGTTCCGGTATTTCTTTTAATACTCTTCTCGAATTAATATTCTCTATATTTGTTTTTGTATTGTTTGTTAGAACCTTCTGAGTGATGTTTAGGACTGCAATTGATCGGTCTCTTATTAACATATGTGCATCCTGTGCGGATTGCCCTGATATTGCTCCAAGTCACAAGTATTATAAGCAATGGTGGATGGTGGTTAGCAGTGGAACCCAAGATGGTCGTCCTTTCCTATCTGGGTTCGATTCCCGGAGTGAGCACCGATTCTGGGATGCAGGTGCATCTAGGTGACGAGTCCCAAGTGGGACGAAACATGCGTCCTGGATTCCACCACCAGCCACCATCCATGTTTGCTCATTCTCTATATTGTCTCTAATCTTGTTATCATTGCTATAATAATTATTTCAATCTGTTTATGATTTATCATTTTATTGTGATATGAACACTTAGGTTAATATATATTTCTTTTAGGCTCTACAATGATTACAATTGATTTATCCTTAACTTCAAAATTAGTTGTCAAATTACCCAGTAATTGTTTTTACATTTTTCTCCGATAGTATAACCTATTTATATGTACATTCTAAATAATTCATAATCATGTTTCTTTGTGAGTTTTCCGACCATGTATCTGTAGGTTATAAGTGTGAAGAGTGTTCCGCTTACACTTTAATTTGATAACAACATAATACCATTATATCCGTAAAATAGGAGTGTGGGAATGCAGTATTGCTCAAAACCGTTTGCACAACTGTGTACTTGCTAAATGTTTGCTCTTTATTTTTCAACTCATCAGGTCCATAGATTCGTGTACTTGGCTTCGAGTGACACTCTGAATGTGAAGCCTAGTAATACACTGCTTAGTTTCCCTGATGAAACTAGATAGAGCGAAGGTTCAAACCTTCGGCTTATCGACTAAAAGTTGAATACCTTAGCCACTAAGTTACTGGATCATTTCATGAGTATATTAATCACAACAGTAATTCGGTTACACTTGTCTAATTATTCTACAATACAGAGAATCAAATTTTTTTTCATTAATAAAATTTCATATCAACAATTTTCATTTGGTACAAAACAAGGGATACATAAAATTGTTGTGTTTCTTTCCATCTCAGTCAGCATTTCAATAATCATTAATCAGCATGATATCTATCTACCTATATAAATATATGTATATGTTCAGCTTATCATTATCGACTTAATTATCACTTAAACTCTTACATATTTGTAATTTTTCATTACATAACGATAGTCTTATAGATAGTTATGAATATTCTAAAACCTTTAAATGAACCATGTCAAAAAGGTGGTGACATTACAAATACCTTAATAATACTCAACAATTTGATTAGTTCTATATATTCAATGAAGTATCATTGAATGATCTTAGTGTAGGAAGGAGGGTTGCGCGTGTGTGTGTGTGTGCGAGTGTGTATACATAACGATTTTCTGTTTTGTATACATTGATAATAATAACATGTCATGTATGTATTGATTGTATCATGCATTCTTTTCAATAGATTTTATCAGAGATCATAAATAACAAAATACACTATCAAAAAGAACACTATTGAAAATGTATCTTTTCATTAAATGATCGAATCATTTCATAGAAATTTATTAATGGAATATAAAAGAATAAGGTACTAGGGATGGTTTTCAATAATTAATGTTGTGTTATATAGATTGTGAAATGTTTGTAAACAATGTTTATATAGCTGAAAATAGGAGTATAATGGAAACAACTGTTTAACTAGGGTATTGTGGGTCACTTTGAACAATACATACACATACAAACACATTAATCCAATAGGTCTCGAACCCACTTAGTTGTTATACCATGGTTCATATTACCGAATTCGGCTTTTATGATTATTGGAGGAAGTTACTACCTCGTTGTGTAAATTAAAGAGGATTCGAGTATGTGCATGTAAGTGTTTGAGTTGTTCCATTGTTGATATTAAGAACTATAATTTCGATCAGTCTCTGTTACACACATATATATATCCTTTTCAGGACTACATTGATCTACAGTCTTGTGGTTACAAGATTTATTATATTTGAATTATAACTTGTAGTAGAAATCAAAACCATCGTTTATTGTTATTTCGATCTTCCTAGCTGGATGTTGAAGTTAACATTAAAACTCGAGTTCGGTCTTGTTTTTTTTTTCTACACACTTCAAAGTGTTATCCACTGAATTATGAAGTTGAGACCACCATTAACTTGTTCAACGCATATGAACTTATACATGTAAAATGTTTTCAGTTTTTCTGTGACCATTTCTCAACCCACCCTGTTTCTAAACACAAAGAAAAAAATTCGTTCATTCTAATTGATTGCCTTAAACCTTGCCGTTTAATTAACCCGGTTAACTTCAATAAATCGATTGAGATATTAATTACTCAAATCCTATCAATTGTTGTAATGCATGATTCAATAATTGAGGTTAAGAGTAATCGGTGAAAACCAACAAACTGTCATAAAAATCTTGACTTTGTTTATGGATGTGAATATAAAAATCCAGTCATTTTGGAGTTTTATTTATGCATTTTCATCAAAGTTTCAGTCTTTGCTATTTGACTGAATAAAATATCAACATTGGATAGATTCATCATCATAAGTATTTATGGTCAGTTTAGAAAGAAAGAGAGGGAGACGAGCATTAAAAAAGACTCGGTATCTGGAAGCTCTTAAATCTTACTTAATATTGTTATTATTAGTCCACTACCAGATACAGACTCGTGTACTTGAATTCCCGTTCACATACTGAATTCGATAGCTAGTGATACAGTTTGGTTACTCGAAATGAAGTGAGGCGGTGTTCGAACCCACGTCTTATTGACTGGAATTTGAAAGTCTTAAACCACTGAGTCATAACTTTACTTACACTATATGAGCGTTCGGTAAATAGTAATACCTAATCTGTCTATCTCATCTAGGATATACAGACTTACCTAGTATGTCCAGTCCGTAAATAAACTGAGATCGTAAAAATGTTGTTGTATAAATCGAGTGTATATAGATCATTATCTTCACAAATGACAATGTAGTTGTTCCATCACCGTTTCTATTGCTTAAAAGGAGTCTCTGAAAGTTCTCAAAAGCCTGACTCGATGTTGCACTTGTAAAGCCGTGATTTATCATCAGTGACGATTCTTTCAAGGAAGCTAGAAGTTTGAGCGGTGGTGCATCCATTGTACACTTGTAGTCAGTTTTTAATAACGTTGATATGGGTTTGGATCACAGTTTTCTAGATACTTTTCTAAAATTAAGCTCACTAGAAACTTTCTTACAGTGAATCAATGTGTGAAAAATACAAAAAAACTGTTCATAAAAACAGGTGGTTGACAGTTATTCATAACTCCAAAAACAGTACACCAGTTTGCGTAGTTATGAATTATATACTCAGTTTTAAGTTAAGCTTGTCTGTGAGCTGCCTAGCCGCTCACACCCAAAGTAGGTGAAACACATTTCGAACGCGTATAATAAAAGAGTAAACGTTAGAGTGATTGATAAATAATAATTATTTACCCCTTCGGATTACGCATATTGGCGTAATTGATTAGAAATGTATTTATTATTTCCCTATTTACTATTTCATAGTTGGTATCATGAACTAAATTTAGTTAAACAACCATTAAAAACTAGGAAATTTTGGACAGCTCTTTCATCTCATTATGGAAGACCTTATCTTTGTAGTCTTTCTTAGCTTTCAACAAGTATCTAATTAAATTCAGTCCGTGATAGGAACTTTGAAATACAAAAACTCTGTAGTTATAATATTCATGTGCTCATTAATGACTAATTTCAAGAAGTAATTCTCGGAGTTCTAGTATGAAACTGTGACCAATGGAGTTGATCCACGTCAGATATGAGGATATTACTCACCAGTAATATTAGAAGATGGTTCAACAGTACTACTATTTGATTGAATTTAGATATCAGTCATTAGATACCAACTATGTGGTCTAAGGATTAAGACCTCAACGTTAAGTCCAAAGATCCTAGATTCGATCTGTGATGGAATCGCGGGTGGACGGAACATCTATGCCGTGTTTATTTGTTTATTTGATAAGCTAACAATCTTCACAAAACTCCTGTTGTAATATTCTGTATTTATTTTTACTAGAATGTAATATCACTGCTTTTTATCATCAACTTTAATGTTAATTTCATTTTTAATGGTTTGAATTATCCCGTTGTTAATACTTCGATTGACATTTGATCAATTCTAGTTAGCATAAATGTATCTTGTCATAATCGCCTTAATATAGCCATTATAATACAAGTTAGTATAGAATAGATGCACTGTGAATAGAAGTGGTCTTGAACCTGCACTTCATTTTATTTGGGGCTCCTAAGTTAGATATGCCTGTTGTGGCTAAATCCGAATCCCGAAGTGGATATTAACTCTGGTTACATCCAGCCGATGTATCCGGATTAGGACGTAACACGCGTTCTGGTTTCGAATACTAATCATATTTCATATATTCTATATAAAGTTCAATGTGTTTATTATTTCACCTTTGTGATTTATCGTTTTTTTTTTCTAAATAGAAATCTTGCCGTTTCACTTAGCGCGGGTGTTACTTGTACATCAGATTTTGATAATTCTAGTTTATGTACAATTTTTATGGTTAATATTCAACTTACTGATTATGGTCGTGATCATATTTTTCAAGTAAGTCATTATTTCAGAATCCTTATGTATTTATTTTTCCAATTCTATGTTATTATTTTGAGTAGATTTTTTATACTTAATGTATTGTTAGTCGGAATCTACCGTTTGTTATTAATATTATTATTATTATTGCTGTATAAAATGTGATTACAAATTAATTTCTTGATTACGAAAGAAAAGTCAGTCGGTCAGTTATTTATTTATTTATTATTATTTTATTTTAACACATAGGTATTGATACAAGGAGGCACCAAATACATATGCACCACACGAATCTCAATTGATTTGTGTGAGGGCTGTGGTACTGCCCGGGTGCCCAAACCGGAGCAGGTGATCTTCTTAGGGGGCCACACCCCGAGCCTTCGACCTGAACGTCTGACCCACAAGGCAGTGGAGCATCGTAAGGAGATGCAGTCCCATGGTAGTCGGTGACAAACGATTGGTTCATACGCCATTTGTTCATTCAGGATGCTGGAGCCAGCCCATGTGCACCATTGGTTTAGGATCCGGTTAAAGCGCCGGACATTCGCTTTTCGTCCTTTCATTTTCGTAAACAACACCGGTGTGACGAGAAGGCAGTGAGTAGGACTTCCGTGGCAGAGACTATATACGCATGGCCATGTGAGAGCATTTCGAGAGGGAAAGCGGGCCCACTTCACTCTCGGGCGTACCAGGCCATTTGGGGGCTTACGGAATGCGCCGACCGGGAGGCGAACCCGGGTCGCAACCGTGGGAGGGATGCATGATACCACTACACTATCGGTCAGTTGATCGTAATAAACTTAAAAGTCTCAGACCATTGTAAGTCACCTCAAGTTACCATACTACATTAGAATAAAGAAACGATATAGTAAAAATTTTAATGAGAAATGTTGAATATTAAGAATATATTTTGTGAAGAGAGAATGAAAATTTATGTGTAAACAAAAATGGAAATAGAAGATCTAGAAGAAGATCGAAATTGAATGTACCTGAATTACGACTACTGATCCTAAGTTGTGTCAGTCAGCATCTCCAAGTATACTGGTCACAATAATTGCGTCTACTCTAAACATGTAGGATGTGCTAACCAACATTTTTACTTATTCTATTTCTAGAATAAACGAGGCTACGATAAAACAGCTGTTCAGTGTTACCGAATTTTTTTAAACGTTACCTCAGCTATGATCAATCTGTAATGAAATACAACTTATAATTTTTATTCTGTCTGTTATTTGCGTTATTGCTGTCTTTACCAATTTGTTTACATGTAGGTTTGTGGAATATTATTTGATTATATAAAAGTTCTACTGTACTCAGCGTTAAATTCTACATTGATACCTTTAATGAATGGTGGTTTAGAAGGTAATAATAATAGTAATGGTAAACGCGTTCATACAAATCACTGTCATAAGCATACGTTTGCTACATATCTACCAGAATATCAAATGGTTAAAACAGCTAATTTTCTATATACAGAACCGGAGGAAGCTGAAGATACAGTGGTTAATCTAGCCAATATGTTACATCTTGTTAAATATGAACATGTTTATTCTGGTTATAGGCTATTGAAAAAGCCAAATATAGAAGTAAGTCATATTACTATGATTAGTATTTCTATGCTTTAGACTTGACTATCATTGACTAACTTAATATGTTCGATGGTGGTCGGGTTTACCGATTGTGATATGATTCACTAGAATCATACTAATAGAAACAATGGATCTTTGAGATCTCCTACTATGGTCCACTAGTTTGTTGAAAAGCAGTAGTAGTGAAAGTAAGTTTTCTGAGAGAAATCATACTGTTGATTGTATTGGATTGCGTGATATATCTTCCACAGTTTACTTACATTTCAAATGATATTTTCTGTTATTTCAACTGGAACTTGGGGTTATCATTAGTTGGTTTTCTAAAGAGCACATTTAATCTTTTTCCGTGAATCTCTGTTGAGGAAAATTAATTTTGAGGACGAAAAATCTTTCGCTTGAATGTTATGCATAATCGTGATCAAATAAGTATTTCTTTTGACTGCGTGGTTACTCTTAGAGATTGGAAACATCATCGATACTAAGTATTTTTTTCATATTCCTCACGAGAAAAAATATTTTTGTAATATGTTGACAAACAAGGAGTATCTAAACACCTCTAACCTCTCACGAGTTTCGCGTGTATGGTGTATATTCCACATTTTCATCATTTGTTGGAACTGTTATTAGCTTTTTGCATTTTTTCTGCATTTCCGTAATTGTTAGAGAAGGGACCGAATTAGGGAATTATTAAGAATAAATTTGAAGTCTTCTATTGTTTGTCGTTTGTGTGTTGCTACTTCAAGTTATCAAATCATGTGACATGATCTTTGTTCTATGTAAAAGTAAATCATTCGTCAAGTACAGATTTATACATTGTACTTCGTACTATGATTTTTGATTTAACCACGCTAGACATACTACTAGACAGGGGCTACCTAATGCCGATGTACATACATACCAGGTTCTATGTTAAGACTTACTGACTGCCTGTAACATCGTTTTATTATCATTATGTATTCACTCTTAATGGTTATTATCTTTATTATCTGTGTAATTTCAGTTGTACATTGATCTATTGAAATTGATGACACCAAATCGTGCAGCTATATTCTTTCTGTCATCAACATTTGCATCTTCAGTGAAAGATGATGAATCAAGATTGGAACATGAACCATGGTTTAATGTAGCTTATCAAAAAGAAGGTATGTTAATTAGTATATCTTTACATGATTGTTGTTCTTTGTTGATACTGATGATGGTGATGATGATGACGATAATTCCTTTTGCTGTCCATTTTTATCGTGTTAGGTTGATGATAACATAAAACTTGATGTTTAGAAGTACGGGACAGTTGTAGGTTACTAATACTTAATTATAGATGTTTTTAATGTATATTACTCTTGTATGTTGGAACCGGCGACTCAGCAATGTTGAGATGTAGATATAGAGTACTAGTAAGTGGTGCTTGATCGTTTTGTGTAAGATCGTGGATACTTCATTCTTTGAGGTAGCTGGGATATGTATTACTTATGTCCAACCATCACTTATTTGTAAGTATAAGGTTGTGGTGATTGTTGATTTTCATTGGAATCGCGAAGTGATGAATGTTAGACCATTATAGAAAACCTAGAAGCAACGGACGACCGCTTTGTCCTGGCATGGAACTATTCTGCAGTACGCATACACGACTTTGCACACAGGAACAGAACCTAGGATCTTCGTTCTCGCACGCGAACGCTTAACCTATGGACTACTGAGCTGACCAGCGTCTGTGTTAATGTTAACTTCAATTAATCCACGATATTACGTGACCATCTTTCGTTGTCTTCGGTCAGTAACCTCTACACTCGATTGTGTACTTTCATTTAAGATGTTGTTCGACTTGGGAATAGACCACAAAATAACTGAGTTCAAAACAAAACGTGGTATCAATCCGCGAATTAATGAACTGGTTGTTCTGACCCATGTTGTTGGGTGTAAACTTCCTGCTTGGTTGAGATCTACTCTATTAAAATTCACTCATTAAAAATGCATTAGCTGATAAAAACTAATATAGTAAAGTCAGAATTTGTTGTAAACATTTACAGATTAATATAAATGACAGCTAATCCCTGTTTAGATGTATATTTTGTAAACATATTTCTCTTCGAATGCTTATTCAATCGGGAATTGTTGAGAAAGTCCCGAAAATCTGTCATCAAAGCATCTAGAACGCTGTTAAACCTTATATCTATATCAGTGTCGAATAGAAGCTTCGGAGAAACATATGAAAATTCCAGAATCACCTATCACTGTTTTAGTTGGATATTCACCTGTACTACTATTATGTGCAGTATAGTTTCAGAATTCAAAACATGTATAACTCTAAATACCCTCCTTTTTTATGTAGAAAAAACTGACCTTGAAATATAGCTTTTAACTCGCAATTTGCGCCTTCTCTTATTTGTTCCAGTTGACGTGTCGAGCTAGTCTGTGGGCTATAAGAACCGTCTAGGAAGATAGTTTAGGCGTATCGGTAGCAAGACATATGAGGAATTCTATTGCATTGTTGAAGTTTCGTCACTTTGATTATTTCTTTACATTAATACTATTGAATACTGTTTGTTCTTTTAAAAATAGATATACCTGAACATATTATGAACGGGTGGATCCATTCAAAACCAGACGACGAACAATTACATCTTCCATATGAAAATAAATTTTTGAGTACGTTTCTGATTGCTTGAGAAATAGTATAATGTTTGTATATGTTTTTGGCATGTGGGTTTAGCAACTGAATCCACTAAGCGTGTATTTCATCCTATTTGGTATTTATCAGCCGAGAATGTACCTGTGATAATTCACTGTCGTTGATAGGCCCATTGATTCTTGAATGCAATAACTTTCTCTCCAAACGTGGAAGGTGACATTTCTGTCGGTTGTTTTTATAGTATAAACCGCACACCACATTAAGAAATATTGTTTCGAGTTGTTAAGTATCGAACAGACGTATGTCTTCTTTGTTTTCCGGGGAATTTTTTAGAAGTGTTCACTTTATAGCCCCAATATTCTTGATTCGATTACATAAAGTTTTGCGTGTGACTGTAAGTATCTGTTAATAGTTAGCCATCTATACAACCGATTCCAAGCCATATCATTCAATATTGTTTCTAATCATTGGTTACGATAATCACACCAGATTACAACATTAAACTATATGGTTGTTTTAGTCTACAAACATGATATAAATTGCCAGTCAATGAATGATTTTATAAACTGATGATATCACATTTTAATTATGGGTCACTTATAACATGGTCTAATATTTTACTATTTATCTCTTTGTTGTATTCTGTGTAGTTCTTGTTAAAAGTTTTCTCTAAGAGATACAAATTTCATTGTTTACCTTAGTATACCCTGCGTTTATATTTAATTTTCTTTCACTGTAGCAACGGATTTTAGTTTATTGGATTCAAAAACTGATATGAAGGTTAGTGTTCGTTTTTTGTTTTTTTTTGTTTGATTAAATTACTTTTTTTCTATCCTCTATACATTGAATTGTAATTTCAGTATATGTTAATATGTAATTGCACTTCAAACGCCAACACATTATCCACTTAGCTACTCAACCCTAATGGCCGCTCGCTTGTGCAACGGGTTCGAGTTCCTGAGTGAACATCAACTTTGGAATGCAGGTACGTCCAGCTGATGAGTTCTAAATAGGGTGAAACACGACTCCTTGGTCCCATTGCTAATCTTATTCCATCAATTCTATGTGAACCTTTGTCATAGTGCTTATACCGAAGCAATATTTACAGGATATATATATATATATATATATATATATATATATATATATATATATATATATATATATATATATATAATCGAATCTAAGAAATGTGCATAGTTTGCTTAAATATACAGTGATGGAATGAATAACATCGAGTTTATTTTGAAGGAAATATTTTGCGTGTTTCCTCCTGTTTTTATTTCGCTGCGAAAACTATCAGAATATACGTAATGTCAAGTTGTTGTTTTCTTGTTTTATGTACTGTGAGTTGAGTAAGTTAAATTGTGAAGCTTTCATAGTCGTTCTGGACAATAATCTCGTCATCAACGCCTACTTTATGTAAAGGTCAACTGTTTATTTTATTCACAATCATTAAATTGATCTATTCTGATGACATTGTGAATGAATGGCTGTTTGTGGAGGTTTTTCCGGCTTTATTTGTTTTCGTATCTTTGTTGACGTTTGACTACATGATTGATTGGTAAATAAAGTCTATTTCATTATACCTATTGATTGTAGACTGATCTGAATGGAGTGCTTCTCGAAATTTGCTGACATTCTTTAAATTTCCTAAGTTCGGAGTTTTCCCATTTTCATAATAAAATTCGAATCTGTAGTTGTCTGTATGCATTTATATAAGTGGTATCAATTTATATGGTTTTTTTTTGTTATTACTGTATGGACCGGAGATCCACTTTGTCCAATGATGTAACAACAAAGGAAGACAAAAGCAATATCATCCATAGAATACATTGCACTGTCTGTAACAAAAATTACGTCGTATAAAAGTGGACACCCTTTCATCGGGAAAATTCTTTAGTTGCTCATTTACCAGGTATAGATTCATATACTTGGCTGCAAACTACATTCCAAGTGTAACGACTAGTGTTACTATACAGTTGCCCGAACTGGAGCAGGGTTCGAACCCTAGATTTAGTGACTAAAAATCGAATGCCTCATCCACTGAACAACCATCCTATTAGGATAAATATCGAAATCACACGTGTGTATATATTAGATTAAGAAAGAAGGTTAACGTGATTATGGTGTTATAATTAAAATATGTAGTGGTTCTCAGTTGTCCCTTTAAATAGTATTGCATAATGTTGGCATTTTTCTTCTTTCTGTGTGTTAACTGTTTATATATATTCAGCAACCTGTGGATTTAAACTTGGAACCTGGTGCGGAATCACGTCTAAAATATGGTCATTTATGGTTTCAACAAAGTACTCGTTTCAAATGTCCCAAAGGTAATTTTTGTATTAGTTTGATAAGAATAGTGTACACAGAAAATAGTATTTTTCATTGTCTTGTAAATTCAAACTCTCTAGAAGGGATATTACTAAAATTTCGCCTTTTACGTAGTGGGTTTGTGTTCTTAGATTCAGATATGATTATGTTGGATACCTGAATACTTGACATTGAATTTTAATCGCTTTCTAGTCCCTTAGAAATCTACACTTAAATCTCTAAAGGAAAATAAATCTTCAGCTGAGAAACTGTTTGACAACCTGATAATATCATTAATCTTTAATCACTGACAGTAATAGTGTGGTGTATACTATTATTAGAGTGTGTTTGAAGGTAGTCAACAGGAAAGCGTGAACCCGGGTTTCGTGCTACTTGGCTCTCGTCAGCAAGGTGTACCTGTAATCTTGAGGGAACTGGTGCTCCCTGACGGACTCGATCCCGTGTTGCCAAGCTTCACAGTCAGAGACGTTACCACTAGGCTATCCGGGCCGCGACCGATCTCCTGTAGGACTTAGATGTAATTACAATTGATTGATAACTGGGTGGTGATCAATGTCATGTGTGTCAAGTCCTTCTTAGTATAGATCGATTGCTATCGACCAAGTTTCAATGTGGCCACTAGTCTAGTTGACTCGACATTGCGTGCACTATGTTGAGATTAGATGGTACACCTTGCTGACGAGTGACAAGTAGCACGAAACCCGGGTCCAGGGTTTCCTGTTGATTACCTTCGACCACCACCACAGCCATCCATACGTGGGGATCGAACCCAGAGCCCTCAAGATCGCACGTAGCCGCTTAGCTTCTTGAATACTGGGCCGGAACCGATGGTGTCAATGTCTAATTTTAGTCGTTCAGCGATATTGCGCTATCATTTTCCGTTATCGTTTGTAGGTAACTGCCTCACAACCGACACAGTTTAGCTCCACTGGTCATGAATTTTCAATCGGATTGCAGAAACGTCCTCAAAGCGGGTTCGATTATTACAGGCGGGGTCTTGCTGCCCACTGCTGAGGAGTCCCATACTAGGATGAAATGGCCGTTTAGTGCTTCCGATTTTTAAATGCGTGGTTTAACATTAACCTTCGGTTCATGATTACAATGAAATTCAGTAATCTCAACAAACTCATACAGATAACTAATATGTTCGTTTTGTTTATTTCGTTTTTTTCTCTTCACAGCTTCTGTAATGATTCATCTTTGGTCTGATATTGTATCAAAAACAAAAGAAACGTAAGTCATGTAACAGGAAAATGATTTGTTACTATATATACATACATGTATACAGTTAAGAAGATTTGTAGTGTAAGTGAAGGATAAAGTTTTGGTGTTGTTGAGTACTATGAACTGCTAGATGATTTGGCTGTTGAACTTTCATTTTCCTTCTGCACAACATCACTGTCATTGTCAGAGCATTCTTCATGTAGAAGTAAGCTTTTCAATTATTCCACAAGTGTTAAATCAGTTTGATTTGGTGGCATTATTTGTAAGTGATTGTCTTGGTAGATTTTATTGTTTTCCTTATGTTCTTTTATTCATATTGACTACCTAGTTCAGTTGATCTCTCATCATGTTGTTCATTCACTACTTTCAGGTAGTTTTATAGATTAAATTTAATTCGATATGTCTTTTGGTTGTTACTGATTGTTATAACCTCCGTGAGTGTATTTTTAGAAAATTTCCGTCTATTTCCTCTATCTAAAATTTCGATAATTTCCCAGTTAAATTCATGGATTGATATCATTGATAGGATATATCCTGTCGCTTCACTAATTATTTTTATTCTTACACTCCTAAGTGAAAAGAACGCCTATTTTGTCCTATATAGTAGTTATTACAGTCCATTTTATGAATGATATCAATCAGTCGGCTAAAACATAGGAACAGATACTTACATGTATGGAGCGGTATAACTTTCCATACTTCACTCACTAGCACAACAAGATGAACACTAAATTCATAGAAGCAGTTACTTCAATGATAGTAATATATATATAAAAAGATTGCATATACGAATATGGTACAGGTAAAAATAATTAGTTCGTAGAAAGAAAGGTATAAAGTAGTTGGTTTGGCCGCCCCTAACTTTCTTTCAACCGTTTCCAACATTAGTCAGCATTGAGCGTTGTGGTAATCGGTGTTCAGAAATATGTATCGCGTAACTCAACCATCTCAGTAGATGAAGATTCGCATTTGTCTTCTTTCTTTAGTTTGTATATTTTGATCAGTATAAATTGGAGTGGTGTAATAAACATGTTTTCGTTTTTATGATCATTTTTCGTTTTTCCTTTCAATTTAAACCGAACACAGTATAAATAATGATAATTTCTTTCGTAGATAACCTTCACTCTCCCTATTTTACATCATACGGTAGTGCTCTTGATACATGAGTTGATCGGGTTAGCTTTTTCATTTAAACAAGCTTATAACCGGAGGTTATTCACAATGTTATCAATGTTCAGCTTGTTTGTTATAGTCAACACTTATTAAAGGGTAATTTACATTAGAGATTACATTACAAACCCTTGCAACTATATGCCCATATTCACCTGAAAAATAGTCGGAATAATAAGTAATATAACACTAAATGAACAACAAAACATGCGGATAACCTTAGCCTTATTATGTACGAGTTTGTGTTCCAGTTTACAATTTTGGTCCTCAAAAATACCAGTCGATCGTTTTCAACGCGAAGATTATCAGTTTGCTTAACACTGCTCCACGTGAATGTTGGTTGACATAGAATCTAAATCCAACGTTCATTCTCAATTACTTTCACCACTTAGATTGGTTAAGAAAGTTTTGTGCAGATTTGTCTAATTTTTGAGTTATTTTCGTGATTGATTAATCTCAAAGTCCTAGGTTTGATTTTTTGTGCGATCGTTCGCATGCACTGTTGAGGGGTTCTGTATTAAGAACAACCAGATATCTTTTAACTCCTGGTTATAAATTGCTCCACGGTTGCCATCAATCTGTAAATAATACTATCAGATTAATTTCTGTACTTGTATATTTACCGTTTATTTTGTGAAATAATAATTTATCATAATCTGTATGTTGTTATTTTGAACATACACCAGATGATTCGTTTCAAAGCCACACTTCATTTCGACTTGATATACTGTGAATCCAATAAGAATTTTCAATTGAGTGCTGATGAATTAACAGTAAATCTTATACATTCTCTCTTTTTTCTATTAGGAACTTACTGGAATTTCAGTCTATCTGTAGTCTCATAGGCTAAGTAAATCACATAAAATTAGATAATTCAACAAAGCGTACTTACCAGCTAAACTTGAGAGTTCATCCTAATTCACGTCCACAAATACTCACTATCCAGTAAATGTGCAATGAACAAATTTCACTCAATCATGTAGAACACGTTTTTTACATAAAAGAATGTCTGATCTACACAGTTTTGTTTGTTAAAGGCTGATTTCGTTGATCTGTCTTCTTTTCCAGTGAATTCTGGATTCAACCAAAGCAGGGACAATTGACGTAGTCGTATAATACATGAATTCATTTCTATTTCGAGGTTTCTCATCAGCTGCTTACAACCTCTAAACAAAATACCACTCATCATTCCAAAAAGCAGTGTGCATAATTCACATGTCATATTATCGGAAGCGTTCTCATCAGTGGAGATAAATGTGAAGAGAGCAATAAGTATGGAAGAGTTATAAGAGATGCTACACAACTTGAATATTTAGGCGAGACTATAATTTATATATGAACCGATCAGATTTAAGATAATGAGTTTTGGATTTTGGCGCAAAATTCATCTATCCATATGGGCGAATAGCATTTTGACACAATAGCTGATGTCAGTTCGTGATGAAAACTCTTACTCTAATTCCTAACCCCAACTTCTAACTCGAACTCCTTATCTTAATTCTCCACAGTGATTTTTATCCCTCGTTTGGTTTCTGGTAAGTAGGTGAATTTTCCGACTTTCACTTTAGCTCTACTCAAGGGTGTTTCATGATTTATAGTCTTACCAACTATAGTTCATTATGTCAAAGGAAGATTGATAACTGAATCTTTTTAGATGCACAAATTTGGCTTAAATCTTGATTACAGCAATCGCTTCAGCGAAACTGATGTGTGGACGAGAATGATAATGATTGATTGTCTGCTTAGTCAGACAAGTGTTAAATGAGTTATACATTCCCTTATCCTTATTTTGTTACGACTCACTTATTATTGATTGTTCACCGTTGTTGGATTATGTCGGGTTTTTGTGTGGAAATATATTTACGTGCTAGTCAGGCTAATCACGTGTTCTTGATCTGAGTTTTGTTGACATCCTGTAGAATAGACACTGGGAGGCAATCTAGTGTAGATATTCGTCTAAGGTAAATTAACGTCCCATGAGTGTAAAAGTGGAAACCCAATCGTTAAAACATTAGACGAAGTAAGACCGAGCTTTATAACAGAAACAGTAAATTCGAGGTTCTTTGTTGATTTATTATCTTGAAGGAATTTGAGATATCAACACCATGCAGGCTGTAAACCAAATAGCGTGCAATCGCACCCATGAAAAGCTGTTGTCCTCTCAGTCTAAACTTCCGTAGAATGTCCTCAGAGATGCTGACACTTACCCTTCATTCTGTCTGTCCAAAATATTTGTTTTGGCACGTTCATGTAAACTGGTATATACAAATGAAGGTGATCTTTACATACTTATTGCCTTCTTTTCATTAATCTTCATAGACGGTAACTTTTCTGATATTATGATATGTAAAGTATATACACTTATTTTGAATGATGAATACTATTTTGTTTAAATGTTGTAATGAGTTAATGAGAAACATTGAAATATAAATGAATTCACATGTTATACGGTTACGTTAATTGTGCTTGTTTTAGTTAAATCTATTTATTATTATTATTATTATTATTATTATTATTATTATTATTATTATTATTATTATTATTGGTTTTATTCAACAGGACAATAAAATTCTTGGTTTCATAATATTAACTATAAAATTATTTAGTTTTTATTAAAACAATTTATATGTTTGTATATCCCATTTTCCTATCTTTCTATCTCTTTATATATATATTCGCTTTATCCTTAAATTTTTACAGCATGGCATTGCATACATTGATGGTCTATGGTTTAAATCAATCATTGAGTACAATCATCTATGAAGCTGGTGAAGCAGATCTAGTGTAAGTTGTTATTCGTTGTGTTTTTTTTGGTTGTTAGTTTGTTTGTTTAGAAAAGTTTAATGATGGTGATTTCACTCATCAATTCACTCAAGTTTATTGTATTCACTGTATTTAAGCCATACTATTTTTGTGTATAAATGGTTTAACGATACTATTATTACTATTATTATTATTGGCTTTATTCAATATTGAATTTTTGGTACAATATAGAATTCTCAGCATAAAGTATTTCAATAAATTTCCTTTTCTTATTTCTTGATCAATCCTTAAGAAAAATGTTGAATAGTCGCCAGTTAGATGTTAGCAGTTCGGGAATCTACATTTTAATAATGTATATTGTTTTCGATGCATATTGTCATCAACCACAATGTCTATGATCAAGCTCTTTTGTAACTTGTACATCGAAATGTTATAAAATTTTGACAAACGCTTCTGGATAAGTTATGCGACTAATGAAAACAGATAACTTGTTGAAATATCTTTATGGTAGGAACAGGTAGCCCAGATATTCGAATGGTCAAACCGAATTAAATAGGATATGTTTAAAACTTGTTGCCTAATGCTATTAGTAAAGGTTTAAATTATCTCGTTGTTAATAAATTCATAATTGATTTCTGATTAATATTTTTCACATTTGTGAATTCTATACAGATTATCTAGATATGGTCATTTTGTCTGATAGAATAGATGGTTTAGGATTGTCTCTGAAATACAAAATGCATGTGCCCCCAAGTGCCCTATTTATTATTTATTTATTTGAACACATAAATATTGGTACAGGGGGGCACCAAATATATATGCGCCACACAAAACAATGATAATTTGAAGAGAAGGAGAAAAGAGAAAAAAAAGTAATGAAGGTGGGGAATTATAAAAAAAAGACAGAGAGAGAGAGAACAATGGTGGGGGAAACAGAAAGGTACAATCAGAAGAAATCTTTCAGTTAAGGAAGATACAACCACTTTTTATGAAGAAAGTAAAAGAAGGTTACAGCAGGATTGCCACTGTCTTCTATTCTGAGCCATATCTGATAACGTCTCTAGCCACTGCGTTACACCGTCTCTCGGACCCCAACCAGGGAGTCGTGAAGGACCAACAGAAGCTAGTCCTTTGCAGCTTTGTTTCATACCACGACACCATGTCATATACTGACCACCTCTCCGCTTTTTCCAACCAGTCCCAGAGTCGGCAAATAATGCACGACGTGGAATTCTCTGGGATGACATTCGTAGAACATGTCCAAGCCACCAAAGTCGGTGTTTCAAGATGGTGACACCAATTTCATTATCGTCTCTGTGACCGAACACACGATGCCGGACCTCTGCATTACTGACATGGTGTTGCCACTGGATGCCAGCAATCCTTCGGAGACAGAGATGATCGAACACAGAGAGTCGTCTAACATCCTCAACTCGGAGAGGCCAGGTTTCACAAGCATAGAGCAAAACTGCTCTCACCGTCGCGTTGTAGATCCGACCTTTTACAGCCAGACTAACATCACTTAGGCGCCAAAGATGGTCCAGATTGGCATAAGCCGCTCTGGCTTTCACTATACGTGCATTGATCTCATCACTCACGCCACCACCAGCACTTATGCAGCTACCTAGATACACGAACTTCTCGACTACTTCAATCTGCTCACCATCCAGAGTGAGTACAGGATTAGAATCCTGCCAGTCTTGTAGAAGAACTTTGCACTTCGAAGGTGCAAAGCACATACCATACCTACGGACACTGATTGCCAACTGATTAAGTGCGGATTGCATGACTTGGGCATTCTCGCACAGTAAGACAATATCATCCGCATACTCAAGGTCGAGAAGTCTTTCTCCAGGCAACAGATTCACACCACCATTACTTACATCCGTCAGAGCTGTTTCCAGAATGTCATCGATGGCAAAGTTGGAGAGGAATGGTGAGATTGGGCAACCCTGCCTAACCCCACTGCTCGAATGGAATAGTGGAGAAAGGTGATTGTATGCCTTCACTCTGCCTGAGGTGTTTGTGTATAGGGCTTTTAGGATGTTAATAAACTTCTCAGGCACACCCTTCATCAATAGACAATCCCAGACAACAGTTCTGTCCAACGAATCGAAGGCAGCCCTGATATCAAGAAACACTACGATTGTTGGCCTTTGATAAGTATGGCGGTGTTCTAACACTTGGCGGAGGGTGAAGATATGATCAATACATCCTCGACCAGAACGAAACCCAGCCTGCTCCTCGCGAGTCAATCCTTCTCGGGTCCTGAACAACCTACGAAGTATGACGGAAGCCAATAGCTTGGACGCAATCGGAAGTAGACTTATCCCCCGATAGTTGTTACAGGAACAACGTGAACCCTTTTTAAAGATAGGGACAACTATCGACTCATTCCATGACGTTGATACGTTCTCTAGTTCCCAGATCTTTGTAAACAACGTCGTCAGTCCCTTAGTCAAAAAGTCACCACCATCTTTAAAAAGAGCCGGAGGTAAGTCGTCTGGGCCCGGTGATTTGTAACGTTTCAAGAGTTGGAGTTCCTTGCGGACTTCCGCCTCATTTGGTGGATCAGTCGTCACCGGCCATGGAGGGCAGGACAGTCTGACCGATGTTGCCGGAGCAGCAGGCCAGTTGAACTGCCCTTCAAAGAATTCTGCCCATCGTCCAAGACGTCGATAGATGTTAGTGATTGGCGTTCCGTCATCCTCGCAGATTGTTTCGCTCACACCAAACTTCTTGCTGCCAGTGGCTCGGATGAGTTGGAAGAGCTTCCGGTAATTACCAGATGCAGCTGCTGCTTCCAACTCACTGGCACGCTCCGACCACCAGGCTTCTCGGTCCTTACGCAAGCTTTGCCCGATTTCAATACGTAACATCCTTCGTCTGTGGTCAAACTCACGGTCACCCGGAGTAGACCGACGGGCTTCAATCAGCTGTAAGGAACCAAAAGAAACCCAGTGCTTGTAAGCGGGACGTTTCGCGAACCCACAACAGACTGTACCCGCCATTTTCATGGCGTCATGCAATTGCAACCAATGCTCATCTATACTTTTCGTTGGAATGGTAGCTAGCCTAGAAGCTAGCTCGGTTCGGTACATACTAGCAACAGAAGTTGCAGTCAGCTTGCTAACATCAATCCTGTGGTGGTCACTTCGTTGTCCACTGAAAAGTAAGGTAAGATTGGCGCAGACCAGAGCATGATCAGATTCCAGATAGGTACTCCAAAAGGAGCGGCAGTCTTGTACACAACCGCGCCAGCGGTAGCTGATCGTGATGTGATCAATCTGATTCCAGGCTTGAGATGCAGAAGGGGGACGCCAGGTGGCACATCGGCGATGACTGTGCCGAAAGTTAGTGCTAGCCAGAAACAGGTTGTGGTCTGTGCATAGTTGCAGTAGACGTTCCCCGTTATCTGTCCTGCGACCAACGAGTCCCCATCGGCCACCTAAACGACTCTCTTCTGTGCCTAGACGCCCGACCTGAGCATTCAAGTCTCCAGCTAGTACTACAATATCTGTCGAACGCACTTTCTGGAGAAGAACAGTTAGCTGATGGTCGAACTCGTCCTTGATTGCATCCGGGCTGCAATCTGTCGTGGCATAGGCGGAGATGACGAAAAGACATTGTTTCTCACGCTGATTTCTTCTCACTTTGATGGAACTTTCTAATCTAACAGCACATAACCGACTGTTAATGGGGATCCAGTCGACTAGTGCTGCCTCAGCTCTTGCGCTTAGTGCGACACCAACGCCAGCAAGACCAGACGAAGATGCCACAGGGTTCCCGGATAAACGCACATAAAACAAGCTTTTTGAAGCGACAGATGGAGAGCGAACTTGTAGTACTTCACCAGAGTCTTGAATACGGGTCTCGGATAGACAACACACATCAATATTAAGACTTTCCAAAGACATAGCCAGCCCTATCTGTTGTCCGACCTGCATAAGTGTGCGAACGTTGAAGGCAGCCAGTTTGAATGGTGCACGTGGTTTCAGAAAAACTGCTTCAGTACTCATATTCGGTAGTAACATACAATTTTCAACCAGGCAGTGACTCGAGAACGTTTAGATAAAGCTGAATTTTCACCATAGGTGAGCTGCTGTCTAGGTCGAAACGGATACATAAAGTAGGAATAAGAGAGGGTGAATGAATGACGTGGTAGAGTAATAATAATAATAATAATAATAATAATAATAATAATAATAATAATACCAGTCATTTCAATGTTAGTCGGAGAGAAACGAATATTTTCTATAAGCAGATAGTTCATCATAGTTTTAGTGTTTTAGTGTGTGGGCTAGGATACTGCCCGGGTGCCCAAACCGAAGCAGGTGGTCTTCTTAGGGGGCCACACCCCGAGCTTTCGACCTAAACGTCTGACCCACAAGGCAGTGGAGCATCGCGAGGAGATGCAGTCCCATGGTAGCCGGTGACCAACGATTGGTTCATATGCCATTTGTTCCTGGGCATTCGGCCCTGGTACGGCCGAGAGTGGGGAGGGTTCGCCCTCCCTCTCGAAATACTCTCACATGACCACGCGTATATCGCTTCTGCCAGGGAAGTCCTACTCACTGCCTTCTCGTCACACCGGTGTTGTTTACGAAAATGAGAGGACGAAAAGCGAATGGCCGGCGCTTTAACCGGACCCCAAACCAATAGTGCACATTGGCTCCAGTATCCTGAAGGAACAAATGGAGTATGAACCAATCGTTGGTCACCGGCTACCATGGGACTGCATCTCCTTACGATGCTCCACTGCCTTGTGGGTCAGACGTTTAGGTCGAAGGCTCGGGGTGTGGCCCCCTAAGAAGACCACCTGCTTCGGTTTGGGCACCCGGGCAGTATCACAGCCCTCACACAAATCATTTGAGATTCGTGTGGTGCATATGTACTTGGTGCCTCCCTGTACCAATACCTATGTGTTAAAATAAATAATAATAAATAAACAAAATGCATGTTCTGTCCCATATGGGTCTCATCAGATAAATCTATTTTCACTAATGTTCACTCCGAAACTGGAACCCAGTACTGTTTGATTCGAACCCTAGTGTATTATTTACTGAACTACTGAGTGCATATATCCAATAGCTTGTTGTTTTTTTTATACAGACTACTGTTAGACGGTTGTCAATAATTGGCAAGAGAGCCTATTTCATCTAGCTGCCATATAAGTTGAAATCGGTCGTCGACAACTCGTATTTAGGATCTTGGCCATATGAATGCTTTCTTACATCTACCATTACTTTAAATCGAACTCATGTCACAGGTTTTAATGTTAACATTGAACTATTCCAGCTGACACTATTCATGAATAAATGTAGATGCTTCTTTGAAATACTACATATTATCTCATTGTTTTAAATGTATGTTTATATGTATAAAAGAAGTAATATATTTTCTTTTTTTTATGTTTCGTAGACAAGATGTAGCGTTTCGTGATAATGGCTTACGTATTTGTGTTAGCGGTTTTAGTGAAAAATTGTTTGTAAGTTTTATTACTATTTTCATTGTTTGGTTGAAAATGTTTTTTTTTTTAGAAATTGATTTATATTTCACCACAGATTGATCTCGGTTGAGGTACAGTTAAAAATTAATAATCGTTGGACAACAACCGTTCACCACGAAACTTGAATGTTTTAACTGACACCTCTAGATGAATCGTGGGTACACACTGATATGACGTTCTATACTAGAACGTACTGTTATAGCCTCACTTACAATGATAATAAATACAATATATTTTTTGTAATATACTCAATGCTCAATTTATATGAAACTATCAAGTTCAACCTTGGCATTGATATCTACTTATTTAGAACGATATCCCAACCGAGATCTTTATTTTGATGGAATTATGAGAGTAATGTTGTTCTTTTGTAAACATTTAACATTATCTATATTTTTACTTTATAAATTACATCAGCTTTTTACTATATGTAATCAGTAAATTGATTTCATTGTGTATTGTTAATAAAAACCTTAATTATTTGTCTTATCGACAAAATGGATTAGTATAAATGGATGCATGCATATTTTTGAGTGATAACAAAGAATTTTAAATGAATTCATAGTCTAATATTTGGATCTAACATTCAGTTTCCCGGAATGTAGCTGCCAGCTTAACGTGGTGATTGTACTTGTATATATTTGATGAATCAATCAACCTGTGTATTGACTATGTTTTTTGGGTTCCACCATACCAGGGAAGTGGGTTTGAAAAGCGTTAAGACTAAAACCAACACAATCATACTCTGAAGGTGAAGTTTTACGGTCCAACTGGAATGTGTCAACCGACCTCTAACCTTTAACGATACTTCGAGTCACCTGACTCACAGTTATTTTTACATATACCCGATATGTACTATAATTGTTCATAAAGCTATACATCATAGTCAGTAGTTACCACTGTTATAACTTGTGACCTGTGTACCCTGTTAATGTATAGCGTAACGATACCGCCAATTAGAGAGCAGTGACTTATCGATCGGATCAATGATGTGTTAACCCGTACGAACAGTCTCGAGTCCTTATTGGTCTCGCTTCCTGTCTAGCCCAGCCAGCTGAGTCCAGAACACCAATCAGAGCCTCTGCAATATGAATCATGTATTTCAAACATACCAGGTTTATATACCGATCAAACAGACCATAATGTACCATAAAATAGAAAATAATATTTGTACAAAATTTGGCCAAATGTGTCTGTGAATGTGGGAGGCAGTGACTGATAGACAGGGCATAATTCAAGAATGGTAAAACGTATAATAATGGTTCATAGGTCAAAATAAAGCTCATGATAAGGCGGACATGAATATGAATAGTTATTTAACGATTATACGAATTTACGTTTAGTATTAGTCCATAAACTGGTCCCAAAAGTTACCATTCATTATGCTTATCGGAACCTAACAATCACACAACCACATAAAACACTTTATCGTCAGTTTAATGTTTGATTTCCAACTATCTCGTGATTTATTCATTCTTCATATCAGCAAATTTGCATTTGATTTCTTCTATTTGCCTTTAAATTACTTAAGCTATAAGTAACTATTATAAAACGGGTTATTTGTTTATTATTTTAGGCTAAATTGCAATGTACTCAGTGTTCAATTATACTTTTCTCTGTTTGTTTTTTGTTCTCAAAATACTTTTAAAAATAGTGTTTTTATTCAACTATACTTGATCATATATTGGATCAAACACAAGATTTATCTAAAGAATATTTCGAATCATATCGTGATGCTGTACTTCAAATTTATTATAATGAAGCACTTAAACCAAATGTACTCAATACGTAAGTGACATAGTGTAACAAGCCAATTAACACTAGTTTTTTTTTAAACAGTTTCGATGTTATGGTGAATGATGATGATACTTGAGTGCAGTCGACAGTAAAGTTAATTACCGTAACATAACTACCTATAACGTCATATAATGTATTGAGTGATTTATACTGGTGATCATGTTTCTAATTGATTCACCCTTCTCATTTCATATGATTAAAAGTAGAAATCTTTCCAGAAAGTAAGGTGGAGGTGGTAGTGCAGGCTGATCATATATTGTCTCATAGCACCATGGTCTGTGAGAAATGCGATTAGAAATGGGTTATTGATTGAGGTTGTGAATACTATTACGTTGATCCTGACCCCAAAATTCTTTTTCTTTGTCATCCAAGAATATTTTCAGGGATAACAGTTCTATCCGGGATAGAAGAGTAGGTTGGTATAAGAAAGCTATGATGGTTTAAGTTAAAATCTGATATCAATCCATAAGATGGTTAATGGTTGATCTGAGCCATGTTGTTAGATGCAAACTTCCCGTGTTAAATCCTCCTTGATTATTGGTTAGATTAGATTTCCTATAAATCACTGGTTTATGTATCTGACTCTAGGCTCAAGGGTTAGTTCTACTCACCATGATGCTCAGACCTTCATAGATTAAACGCAGGGTTGAAATACAAACTTCTGCCTTTTTTCATACCGAGTATCCTATTAATAAGCTGACCTAATCCAAACATATTGTAAAGCACGACAATAGGCAGGAAGAGTTTATATTATTGCGAAAAGTTATAAAATATTCACGTAATACTTAAACATAGTGTTCAATCGGTATCATTACCAAGGTTTGTTTTGATAATTTCGAATAAATTGAGCATTGGGTTGATTGTTATAAATAAATACTATATTTGTAATATCCTAATGAGTAGAAAATTAGATTTTCTGACGTTTCATGACTTAGTGCAAGTCACTTCTTCAGAGAAGACTTCAGAAGAATCTAATTTTCTACTCATTAGGATATTACAAATATATTATTTATTTATAGTGTTCAATCGTCCATTCGCATCTTCCGGTGTGCCCCGCAATCTGAACTATCTTTTCGACTGATTTCCGAGTGTTATGCCAACTCTGTGCTTTCGACGCACTGAAACTCTTCACAATTGTTGCAACTTCTTCACCGCTTTCCGCTACACACTACGTATAAACATCCTTATCATTAGCGTCCACTACAATAGCGTGCACCCCTGTTTCCATGCTACCTTAAGAATAAGTTTTAGGTGAGTGATGATAAACAATATACTCATATATATATATATATATATATATATATATATATATATATATATATATATATATATATGCAAATGTGTAGTGTGTACCCCTGTGTTCGATTGCAAATTATACCTTATTACTCATTCTTAGTTCCCTCACTTGCACAGCAGGTTGAACTCGATTATATTCAGTGTGTGTATCAGTATCTAAATGAGTTGAGCGCATAACATAGCACTTAACCACCGTTGTACTCATTGTGTATCCTGCTAATTAATTTATTTACTGATCATTTATATATTTACTCTTTGAATAATTTCCTTTTGTTTGCTTGTTTGTTTCGTCTATTTATTTCACAGTCATCTTCAATTTTATCTTCTTCGTAAAGAAGCTTATCTAATTACAGATTTACTGAGTGCACTGAAAAATTTGTCAGTAGCTGATGTCGCTGCGTATAAACAACAATTTTTGTCCACTTTACATATCACCATCTATGCTTATGGTAATATAACAAGACAGGTAAGTCTTCTTAAAGCATGTGTGTATGCTTGAAGAGACCTTAAATTATCTCCTTCAGTTCATTTGGCAAATAATAGTTCTGATGTGAAAGGAGGTCTGGCGTTACGTTTTTCCAATTAGTTCCCTGCAAATATTTCTCAGTTTTACAGGGGGTCTGTCGAGGCCCAAGTAATTCAGTATCTACGTCTGTGACTGTGAAGCTGGTTTACATTTCAATAAATTCACCAGGGAGCATCGGTTCCTCCAAGATTACAGGTACATCTTGCTTATGAGTGTCAAATAGAACGAAGCCTAGGTCCTCAGATTTCCACTTAACTTCTCAACATAGTGCATGCAACATCAGTAACTTAGACTAGTGTCCACATTGCAACTTGATCAATAGAGTTCCAATAGCACTAAGAAGGACTTGACGTATATGACAGTGGTCACTACTCAGTGATCAATCAGTTGTAAATTTTCTCTACTGACTTTTGCTAGTGTACGATCGGTTGTCCTTGCTTTCAGCTTGCTGCTTCTGGTTAGTTTATTGCAATTTAATCTTTTTTAATCATCAAGTTATTCTTGATTTCTATCTCTATCTTTCTCTTTCCTATCCACCGTATAAGTGGGATTATTAACGAACTGTTATTTATTAGTTGTCTGGTTTGTGTAGTTTGCATACAACGCGTTTAAAATTAGAAAAATCTTTCAATCATCTGTTTCAAAACAAAGCAGTATGTTTTTTTAAGATCAAGTTAAACGACCGTAAATCAAACCCTAAACCGTTGTCCTCTGACTTGAACTCCAAACCTCTGGACAATTGAGCTAGGATACATTAGTGTACAAGTCCAAACTCAATGAAGCTGAGATAATACACCATTATCTTCTTAATCTCAGTAAAATCCAACAATTTCCAAAACCATATACTAAGAGCAGTATGTGTCCATTACTGTAGAAATGCAAGAAAAGAACATTTCAAAAATCATTTGACGTTTAATTTGTGACGGTTGACCATTCCCTCGTTTTTATATCTAATTAAATTATAAGTAAGTTGATAGAGATGACACCTTCATTGCTTAAGTGTTTTTTCCTCGATTTGCAGAGTACACTTATGGCATATATAGTTCTTTGTATTAAAAATACCAACAAAATTCAGTTTCACTGGTTAAAATCATGAGTCAATTGAAGCTAGACCACCATGGAAACCGTCCAGTGCTCCCAGGTTTTCCATGGTGGTCTAGGTTCAATTGACTCATGATTTCAACCAGTGAAACTTATGAAATCTCCACACAACCCCTTCTGAAAATTCAGTTTTCTAAATTATTTTAGTTACCATACAAATCGACTTTCTCTGAATCTAGATACAAAATGTTTCATTACATAATCAACATAAATACTAGTAGCTCACCTGATTTTTGGTAGTTTTATGTCACGTACAATTATCGTGCATTATATTATTATTATTATTATTATTATTATTATTATTATTATTATTATTATTATTATTATTACATCGTATCTTGTATCACAACATACCTTAATTTTCATCCCACATGTGCTAAATAAATTGTGGAACTTTGGTCCATGGATACACATTTATCCCAATTCTTACGTTATTACTAACAAGTTCAAATCTGTCTCCGTTTAATCTAGTTTGAGCTGTTGGATAGTGAAACTACGTCACACCAAAGATTCGTTTCTTCTCCGTTGAACAACTACCTGATACAAGCGCGTGATCTGAAGGACTCAATGACTAATTCACACAATACTTCAATAGGAAAAAAAGAGTAATTCTAGGAAATTAGTTTTTAATGCAACAAATCTGTGTTATGTAACAATTAAACTTAGACTTGGGAATAGATAATCAAATTAAAACAAAATTAATAGCAGTTGATTTGAATAGAAGAAAAATTTATCAAGGAATTTCTTGGTCATCAGAACTATCTATTTTATTAATAAGAGTAAAATTAAACTACATAGTTTCAGTTCTTCTAAACATGTCATTTCAACTAAATTCATAAATTTATACTTGATCAAATAAGTTACTTTAACTCAGTAATTTATACTTTAAAATCATTTCTTGGGTGTGGGCAAATCCAGCTGATGAGTTCCAAACAAAACGAAACGCACATCCTGGATCCAACCACTAACTGCCATTCATCACTATTTTAAAAATGTTTATGACTTATTGGTAATATCGAGGCAATCTGCACAGGATTCAAATATGTGTAAAAGTGGTTGATCGATTGTAGTCTTAGACATCAATGGGGAGATACAAATAACCAATATATATGAATTTTTGTATTTATTTTTTTTTATTTGTTATATCTTCCATGTTGTTACATATATACTTTTGTTTTCTATCATTACCACCGCTGCCGCCGCACCCCTACCATCCAACTATCTGTAGGATGCTATTTCTTTCTTTGATTATACAGTGGAGAAAATTCAACCTATACCTAGATCCACAAGAAAATTGGTAAGTTAACGTCGACCTTAATTTACACACTCAGGCCTATTGTGGAGAATAGGCTGTCGACTAGCAATATTCAACCTACTCTATCATGGGCTTTCCCTTCCAGTTGTTGACAAATCCTATTCATTCTTATGATGTCTACCTCCAATTTCCGACGCAATATGTTTTTGGTCTCCCTTTTTCCCTCTTGTCTTGAAGAACTCAATTTAGGGATTACTTTTTTATGCAGTTTGGTGGTTTCTACAGTGTATATTCTGTCCACTCTCACAGTGTTTCCCTAATTTCATTTTCGTCTGGGAGCTGATTTGTTCTCTGCTACAGTAGATCGTTGCTGATAATGTCTGGCAAACGGATATGGTGTATCTTGCATAAATAACTGTTTATGAATACCTTTACTTTTTAATGATAGTTGTAGTAGTTCTTCAGGTTTTAACTCCGTACAATGCAACTGTCTTGATGTTTTTATTGAAGATTCTGATTTTGATTTTACCTGACAGTTGTTCTGAGTTTTGGACGATCATTAGTTGTCGGAATGCTTCCATTTCTTTGTAAATCCATGCCTTTGCATCTGCACCAGATCCTTCTTGTTTGTAATTGATGCCTACCGGGTGGTACGTGAAGGTTTCAACTTCTTCCATAGCTTTACCTTTTGGTTGGTCCCCACTGTGTTGTATTTTGGGACCTCTCTTTTTCCCTTGTAAACTTGATCTAATTAAATTAAATTTTTCTCATATTTTTGACTCACATTATTATTGCTTTCCAACTGTACCAAGTGTTAATTATAAGAGTTTCGTATTTTCACGTTGTTATTGTTAACGTCTGTAATCGATCAATCACCCTGTTGGTGGCGTAATTACAGCCCTAAACGGTTTGTCTCAATAATTCCAGCTTGGAAGCGAAATATATTAGGTTCAAATCTCAGTGTGCAAATCAAAATCAGCCAATGATAGGTGCATCCAGATTACTAAAACCGATTATTATCTGTGATCTTCATAGAACCACAACGTGTAACTCTAAACAGTTGACATGATTCCTTGTATTGTGCTTATATTTTTTCTAGGAAATATTTGTTTAGCTACTAATTAGTAGTAGAAATAATAGTTAATAAAATGTTTTGTCCACATTGAACTCATGCCCATCTGATATCATTACAACTATTATCCTTACCCTTTCCACTTGTTTTATTATTGTGTGGCACACCTTCAATGTGTTATTTTGTAGAATATTCAATAAAATATAAAGTCTCTTTCAGTGCTCATAAAGATCACCTATTATTCAGTTTTTATAATGTTAATAATTGTTAATATTATTGTTATTGTTAGCACTGAGAATAAAATGCTATGATATCGATCATTCATCCACAATGTGCCAGTTGAATAGGCTTGATTTAGCCTTATTTACAGTTGATCAGAACTCTGAATGAACATTATCAACAACTGTCCTCTCTGTGTGAAGTTCCGTTCTCTGTAGTGAATAGTTTGATCGTTATACGCTTCTTGTCTTTCTAGATAACATCAGTACAAACATTTGATAGAATTGATTTGTCCTGACTTAAACACAGTTTGTTCTGTCAAATCTGATTCAGATTGGTTGTTGTAGATACCTTTTCTGTCTTGATCTCTATATTAATTTTGACTGTGTTTTCCTTTGATTTGAATTCCAACTTCACAGATGTTCGTAGATCTTCTAATCGATTGATATAAACCAAAGTATGTTGTGGCGTTTGATAAGTAATTAGTGTACATCCTGGTGAAGAAAAAGAGAGCGTCCATTTTGTCACGTAATACTTATACCGATAAACATTTAAGGAATACCAAATATAGAGAACTCATTTTCATTTAAATATAGTTTTGGCTACAAACTGGTGTTGTCCAGCAAGCTATTAACAAGTGATGATCACATAATAAAGCTGTATTTCGTTTTCACAATCTTAATTACTTCTGCATTGCAAACGTATGGCTATAAACGTACACAGAGTGTCGAACTTGTGACCTTTAGGTCTTGTGGTAGTGAACATGCCACAGTTTGGTCAGTGATATAAAATCTAATCACTTATGTTACTAGACGAATAGTTTTCCGATTTCAGGTAGTTTGTCATCATCCTCAAGCTTTCTTAGATCTCTTCCCAACGTGAAGTAAAACCTGCTACATGTGTACACCGGTTCTCTTTTCCACACCGCATTTGCGTAGAGATGAAATTGTCAGGCACAATCCCAGAGAAGTGAACTGAGTTATAGTATTCATAGTAATAGAAAGGAATATGTATCAAAGATATGATTCACGAAGAAGTTGTGGGTCTATATGATAAACAATAAAAAATTTTCCAAGGTAATTAAGAAGCTTAAAATTCCGTTGAAAGCAATGAGCGAATCCACCCATTCCATTGCAAATGATTCTAAACCATGTCACCTAGTATCTCTAACCATTGTTTACGTTAATCACATGAACCCCAACTAAGTAGTTTGTACCTACCTACATGGCTCAATCCAACAGTCAAATTTGTATCCGTCAATTCATAGTAATAACTAACTCATCCCTATAGGTTTTTTTTACACCTCATAGTTCAATTCTTCTATTCGAATAAAGTTTACCAGAATTTTTTATTTACTAAAAACACTCTTATAACTGTATTCTTTTATTTTTTCAAAAATAACCCAACTCTCTGTTTAGATTGATACCTCAATCCTAGATCCAGGTACATATTATCTACGTGTTATGAATTGTAATCCGAACGATGTAAATATGTGTCTAGCTAGAATACATTTACTTGGTGAATCCGATATTAAACAACAATGCTATAATAAACTATTGGCAGTAAGTCGAATTCTTTTTACACACACACACTTGTTATTTGTTTCACTGGTTTTGCATTTTTCCCCCGATTTATGGGGCTAATTTTTGAATGACTGTTTGTTATCACTACGGACAAGAAGTTTACTGACCTTCGGTCTCGCGCGCGAACACTTAACTTCTAGACCATTGAGTCGGCATCCAACGGTATTAATTTCCTTGCCTCGTGTCCCGCATGAGGGGTCGTAAATGCACAATGCTGAGTAGTCCCATACTGGGACGAAACGGCCGTCCAGTGCTTTCAGATTCTCAACGGTGGTCTAGGTTAAATCGACTCGTGAATCCAACTATTAAAAGTTACTACAATCTCCACAACCCCCTCCATTCTATTATATATAATAGTTCATTGTAACTTATGTTTTATTACAGTTTGCAATATTTTCGATCGTCGAAAATTTTTTAGTGGTTCTGTTGAAACCAACAGGATTTGCTTAAACTAGATAATTCGGAGAAATTAATATATAACACTTCAGCAACAATCCGCTACACAATTCAAAAGAGAAAAATCAAAAACTGTGAAAGTTTAATATTCGAACAAGTCAACATTGCGATAAAATAACCTTGTTTGTATAGCAACAAATGTGTCTCTAAGACATGACAAAAGCAGCAAACTAATGTAGTAAAGGAGAAGACGGTTGAGGACAGCCGAATTATATTTAACCCAAAATTACAGAGTTACTTGGTAAAATAGAGAAGCCATACTATAATACTTAATTTGCAAAATTTTCAATAATTTTCTCGGAATTCATTGTTCTTGCATTTCCATACTAATTGCTTTCTATTCCCGTTCTTCCTTTGTTGATCTTCCCCATCTTCTGCTGCCAGACATTGTATTCCTGACTCGCGTCATATACTACTTATATCAATATAAGTAGCACTCACCACACTAAGGGCGAGAATAATGAATTAGATAGTAGAAAAGATCATTGCAGAATTATGAATTGGAAGAACGCTACTGTGAACTTCATTACACATTAAAAACATTGTTTATTCAACAAAAGTAATAAGACTAAACAATTTTATTTCTTCCTAACAGTATCTAGTCTAGTGAATAATTATTTAAATACTCAGCTTTGAGCCATTCATTTTTTACAATCAGCAAGGACTCGTAATATTATCAGACTGTTTAAATCTTAGTCGTCAAAGTAATATCCGGAGCCGCATATTACTGATGCTGATGGCTGTAATCCTTAAACCACTCATATCTCAACTAATTAGTCGTAAGTTCAAACAAAATTAGACTTGAACTGCTGAATATTATCACTAGCCCTTACAATTACAGTGTACTACAAAGTTGAGTACAATAAAAATCTGTACTTGGCATACTATTGAAACAGAAATTCTTATCAAACAACCTATTCAGATGTTAAATTCTCTTAATTTAATCGCGCGTTTTTTTTATTCAACTAAATCTTTTTTTGTTTTCTCTTATGTATTTGTGTTTCAGTTTATATTATCTGAACCGGCTTTTGATTATCTGCGTACTAAAGAAACTTTAGGATATACTGTTTATCTCCGATATTGGCGATCATCTCCTGGTGGTACATTACATTCAGGTATCAGTTTAGTAGCATATAGTCCAGCTAATAAATATTCCATTGATTATGTCGCTGGAAGATTGACTGCTTTCTGGCGTCGAATAGCTCCAAGGATTATTGCTGCTATGCCATCGGAAACGTTTAAAACGTCAGTAAGTGTAGAATGTTGTATTCTTCCTGCTTTTTTATTTCTACACTATGGAATCTAAATAATTAGTCAAGATTATAGTACCAGTCAGTTATGACCATGCTCATGATCACATTTTCCCGTGCGTTTTTGGTTTGATTAGTCATTAGTATACTTATACAATATTGACTTTGTTTAGTTAATCATTTCGGTAAATAAGAAATCTTTATTAATTAATATTCGAATAACGATCAAATTTCAGTCGCTGGAATAAAATACCGTACGTTTGTACATTTTAAGTTCTTCATAAATTGACAATCCACACTTTCGATAATATAATAGGAAGACGGAGATAATCTCCGTCTTCTTATCAAAGGGACTAATTGCTTTAAATCTACATTTTCTCTCAATGATCTTTAATGTTCTGGTTTTGGTTGATTAATTGCCTTTCTATATTTATTTTTCTGTGGATTTTGTACCTTTTGATTATTAAGTTGACATTTCATAGTTTAGATTTTTAACCATTAGATCCCGACTTAGTTGTTTTAAGGTTGAAAGCTCACTATAAGTCCTGAAGGTCGTGAGTCCGATCTCTGTTAGGGTTGTGAATGTCTACTGCTAAAGAATCTCATTCTAGGAAAAACATTTGTCTACCGCTTTTGATTCTCGAGGGTTTTCTAGCTACAGTCAATCTGTGATGTAAACGATAGAAATCATAATCTTCACAGGTTCTTTATACAAATATACCACACTATTAAGAACATTGAAGATTATCACTCATACGATTCGTTCGCCTAAACTGAAGTGATTGGAAGAGAGTGTTGTATGTGTTTTAGGATGGTGGAGAGGATTTGTAGCTCATGTGGATGATTTTGATGGAGTTTTGTTCTCTGAGCTCGACCAAACCATCCAGCTGAGAGAACAAACCTCTATCAAAAAGTCTATGTGTTGGTAGTTTGAAACCGAAACTTTAATGAACTCATTTATCACTGAACTATCCCTTCACTTTATGATTGAATAATGTATTTTTTTTCTGTTTAATAAACAAACAATCAAATTATAAAATTGTTCACAGTTTATAGTTCTATTACCATAGTAAACGTTTTGTTGTATTTTTTTTTAAAAAAAAAACAACTTTGTATAGGTAGAATCATTGATATCTGTGCATCAATTAGAAGATCCTAATATGATGACAGAATTTGAAAGAAATTGGGATGAAATTATGGAAAGTACAGCGAATTTTAATTATCGTGAAGAATGTGTAAGTTGATTTGTATTAAGTAATTTATATTTATTTGAACACATAAATATTAGTACAAGGGGGCACCAGATTTATATATATATATGCGCCATACAATAGCAATGAGAATGGGAAGAGAAAAAGAACAATAACGACCACAGATTAGTGTATGGTAGTGTAATAATAATAATGGGGGGGGCGGGAAGGCACAACCAGAAAGAATTATTTCGGTTAAGGAAGTTACAACCACTTTTATGAAGAAAGTAAAAGAAAGTTACAGCGGGGACGCCACTGCCTTCTATTCTGAGCCATATCTGATAACGTCTCTAGCCACTGTGTTGCACCATCTCTAGGACCCCAGCCATGGAGTCGTGGAGGACCAACGAAAGCCAGCCCTTTGCAGCTTTGTTTCATACCACGACACCATGTCATAGACTGACCATCTCTCCACTTTTTCCAACCGGTCCTAGCGTCTGCAAATAATTTCATTGTAAACAATGACAAATTTAAGGTCAATAAGAACCAATCAACATGGAGGTGCACAGAACAAGCTGGGAAACGCATATGGAGAAATTCGAACACTTCACTTCTATCTGAAGTTGGTGCTGACGATGTCGTTCAGAAGAACGATGAAAGCTCCACAACCAAACCATCGAGCTCGGAGAACAAAACTCCATCAAAATCATCCACCTGAGCTACAAATCTTCACCATCTGCAAATAATGCACAACGTGGAATTCTCTGGGACGACATTCGTAGAACATGTCCAAGCCACCAAAGTCGGTGTTTCAAGATAGTGACACCAATTGGATTTTCATCTCTGTGCCTGAACACACGATGACAAACCTCCGCATTGCCAATATGGTGTTGCCATTGGATGTCAGCAATCCTTCGGAGACAGCGATGATCAATCACAGAGAGTCGTCTAACATCCTCAACTCGGAGAGGCCAGGTTTCACAAGTATAGAGCAAAACTGCTCTCACCGACGCGTTGTAGATCCGACCTTTTACAGCCAGGCTGACATCACGAAGGCGCCAAAGATGGTCCAGATTGGCATAAGCCGCTCTGGCTTTCACTATACGTGCATTGATCTCATCACTCACGCCACCACCAGCACTTATGCAGCTACCTATATACACGAACTTCTCAACTACTTCTATCTGCTCACCATTCAGAGTGAGTACATGATTAGAATCTTGCCAGTCTTGTCGAAGTACTTTGCACTTCGAAGGTGCAAAGCACATACCGTACCTACGGACACTGATTGCCAACTAATCTATATACATCGTCATATATATCATTATTTAACTGTTAGATGATAAGATCCAAATAAAAATTATAAATTATGAATGAATATCAATTTTTATCTTTGTTTTTATATTTGTTGTCAGTAAGATGTGTTCAAACCTTTTCCCTATGAAATTTTCACTCATTGTCACAGTCAAACTAAATATCATAACTATTTGAACCCAATTTTCAACTGGGTATTTGCATTAGAGCAAGTTCATTCAAATATCAAACACTGCAATCCTCTTGTATTCAGAAAAAAAGCCATCACACTGTCATGACTTTTGCCTTGTTAATCATCATATGACAAGCTCAACAATCAGAACATTAACTTAAACGACCTTGCCCTCTTGCGCTAACCCCATGACACGTTAATTAGCATGATCAACCTTTGAGTAGTAATTGGTCCTCTGTATAGTAACTTCTTGCTTAGCCCTGTTCTCTTGAGTCCAGGATACAATCTTAGCTTACAGTGAATCAATTATGTATTTCAAGAATACGCAGTTTATACACAAGTAAACCAGACAGCATCACACCGTAAAATAGAAAATAACAACTATAAAGAATCAAGTCTAAAGTGGCTGTGAGTGCGAGATACTGTAACTAATAAATTAAGGAAATAAAAGGATAGTAAATCGTATAATACTGGTCAACAAGTCAAATGAAAGCTTATGATAAAAGGAATATGAATACATGTATAATCTAGATACTTAATAGTTTTATAATCAAAATATATGTTATAATAGTTCATAAATAACTCCTAGCAGTTACCATCCATTTTTTCTTCGGTATGATATAACACATAATATTATGTCTTTCAACCTCTGATTAAAAGCACATGACAATGACATCAATCGGAATCGCGACTTCTGTGATTTAGTATTTCTAACTTATCTAGTTACACGTTCAACCAGCACTAGGAACTTTGATCCGATAGCTAGGTTTCTATTAGTCCACTACTCATTGACTCCTCTCTATACCCAGCCTTCAGTTCAAAAGACAGCAACCAACCTTTATTATATTTATATTTCAAATAGATTTGGTTTATATACAGGCATAAAAGACCACATCACATCATAAAATGAAAAATAACATCCAAAAGTGACTGTAAATAAGGGAGATTTTAAGTGACAGACGGACAACAAATTAAGAATAGTAAGTAATGTAACAGTAGTTAATAAGTCAACCGAAAGCTTATGATCAAAAGAATATTTGTAGATTATTATAATCTAGTTACCTAATAATTAAACAACAAGAATATGTATAATAATAATCCATAAATCAGTCTTGGAAGTTACCTTTCCATTATTTTTTGTCCTGATATAACACTTATTTCTAATAACCTCTAATGATAATCTCTGGGCTTATAATGAGAAGGTTTTTACCCATGAAGTCATTGAGATAAATATTATCCATAGCAATCAATGGTGATCGTACAATATCATGAATCGACTAAAGTTAAAAAATGTCAAATATTGGATGTCGACTCGCTGATGATCTGCGGATTAAGCTCTCGCTTCAAACACCTGACAGTCTTGAATTCGATCTATAGTTAGGATTGTTGAGAAGTTCAGTGTTCCCTGGTTTTTATTTGATCAATTTATACAATCCTATTTCTAGAGCAATTAAGTTGCATGTAGTGGTGAAATAAAAGATTATTGTCATATATAAAAAGTGTTTATTGAAAGAGATCTTTTTCCTTTCCCCCTCCGCCTGTCACACAGACATACAAAGGATATTACACTTAGTAACTGATTTACAAGTAAATAATAAAATGGGGAAAGATCGGTAAGACAAAATGAACAGTAGTTTCATCATTCACATTATAGGCTGGTCCTAACTAACTATAGCAAGCCGTGAAGAACGTGGAAACATCGCAATCCTAGCACATGACTCTTCAAGTGCATCCATCCACGACTCTGTCGGAAATGGAACCCAGAAACATCAGGTCACATATTCTAATTGTCATGCGCTTACCGCAACACCTGAAGGTCCTTTTTACGACCCATGTTGGTATCATCGATTCATACTCCGGAGTTGTTCTATACTAGGATGAGTCAGTTGTCCAGTGTTTGTTGGCTTTCAATAATTGTTTGGCAAAGATCATAAGTCTATGATTTAAACCATAAAACTCAACTATCTGTACAAACTTCTGTAGTTTAATTGCTTTATGATAGCAGTAAAGAAGATAGTAATATTATACCGTATATTTTTATTTATTTAGGTGAAAATTTTGTCAACTATTACTCAAGAAGGTCTGTTGAATTTCTTCTTAACAGAATATTTAGATGTTAAAAAACAACGTTCTTTATTTGTACAGGTAAGTAAACGTTCTATTGATAAGGGGTTAATTTAGGCCACTGGTGAGACTATAATTTATGGACGACCTTTAAGTGACCTTGGGAATGCTTATCTACTTACTAGGGTTAAATGATTGTTAGAAACCTGTGGTAAGAATTAGGATTATGATTTACAGTTGATAGTTAGGGTTAAGAATTAGACGAACTGATATTAGCTAAAATGCCAAAACGCTATTCAGACAAATAAGTGAATGAATTTCGCTCCAAAATGCAAGACCTGTTATTCTACATCTGATTGATACGTTCATAAATTATGGTCTCGCCTAGTTCAGCTACATTCATTCTTTATCTTACTCTCGATTTTCAAATGTAATATTCTTTCTTTTTTCTGCCTTGATTCTATCTACACTGATTAGAACTAACTACATAAACAGTCGGTTGAAATACAATTTGACTCATTTATTTAAAAATGAGGGTGTTGATAAATCATTCATAAAGCGTACCAAACGTAATTTCGTGGAATGCTGGGATGCTAATCTAAAAAAGCCATTGAGATTCATGAGGGGTATAAGAAAACTATTTATAATCATGGTTTATTATTGATCAATGGTTGTAGCGCTTACTGACATAGTTCCAGACTTAATCAAATTTAGAGCATATTTAGCAGGTCAGCTGAACTCTTTGAATCTGAGATCCAATAATCCACATCTTACAAACTCATTCAAGTTGTGTAATAGAATAATTGTCCAATGCAGTTTTTGCTTGTATATAGAACTTCGATCAATGAAGCTTCGTGCACTTATTCGTCGTTTTGAAGTTAATGACCTCTTCTGCTTAAAATTTTTTAACATTATTCTATATCGAGATCTGGATTGTAGCCGCTTCTACCTTGATGAATAATGATTAGGCTTACATATTATAATGACTCAATTAATATATGTTGACTGTAACATTTGTTCTGTAGTGTCTGGTACTATGACAAGCTAACAGGTTATTCTAGCTTCTGGATGGACCAATTTCTTACGTGTTTGTAACATATTTTTGGTCTGACTATAAATATTGAGATACGATTGATCATATTGACTTTGCTCACTCGTCTTCTCTGCTGTGCATCGCTTCGTTTACCATTTTTCCAACGAAATTATCCGTTTCATTTTCTTCTCTTCATTTCTCTGATTGTCTGTCTAGATCGACGAGCGTATGAAATAAACATATTCAAAATTCATCCTCGTATATCTGACTTATTCTGCTAATCACTAACGCGAATAAAGTCGACAATTATATATGTATATTTCAATAGCTATCGTCTTACAATCTAACTGGCGACAGATAACGATAGGGCTTGTAGCAACAGTTCGATGTCCGAGGGTGAATGCATGCTGTCGATTGTGTAATACATGGAGCATGATGGCAGCGTAGGTGTTTCTTTCAGACATCCAGCTTTCGCATCAATATTGCCTTTTCACAATGAAGAAGGGCAGGTCAGATAATGTCGGCTGTAAAACTAATGTATCTCATATGGTTCCCAATTTAATCCTTTCATCGCTTATTATTTCTTCCGTCTGTACTATCAGTACTTCTATGATTTCATCTTTATTCTCCAGGCACCACCAATAGTAACTATTCGAGGTCACATAATTTTATTCCCAGTTATTGCTGAAACTCGTTTGTTAACTTACGTATTGGAGCTTTCATTGTTCTAACTTTATGTCAGATCGGACAAATGTTTTGTTGCAATGATCAAAGGTAATAGAAGGGTTAAACGAAATGAAGTGATATGTTAAATAAATTATAATTAAAATCATGAGAGTATGAAACATGACTAAAGATAGATGGGCATATTTTCAAATATGAAATAGAATAATGATAATAATAGTTTAAGGCCATGATAAAGACAAGTGGTACTTCCTTTGTACGTTACGTAGTCTAGTACTATAACTTTTCCATTACATCGTCACTTCTACCTGGAGTTTGCTCTGATGATGTTGTTCAGAGGAACGATGAAAGATCCACGACCAAACCATCCAGCTCAGAGAGCAAAACACCAAGACGTTACGTCATCATGTTTATTCCTTGTTCATATGTTCTCAAAGAATTAAGACTTACAATTAAAGTTTTCATATGTACATACGATTATACAGCTTGATAATGAATTTGTTGAAAAAATCCATTCACTAAATTTCGTGTATTTTAATATACGGTGTTCCAGTCTTGTTAAATTTGGTCAAACGCTATCCAGTGAAGCCGACTTGCTTTTCTGGAAATAGTTCCGGTTTCTCAAGGCTCACAAACTCACTGCGTGGATGTAATTTTATGGAGAAGTCGATACCCCGGGTCTTGTCACGCGGTCACCGCACCAGGGGCAAGTATGGTCTATGTGTATACTGGTGACACATACGTTTTCACCCATGCATCCTTTAGCATACACATAGTTATATTTACCCACCTGGGAGGGTAGATGGTCACCACTTCTTTCGAATGTATTCGCTACAACTGACTGTCACTTACTCATTACATGCACACCACCGGTAAAAAGACTCGCTACCATATTTTTGATTTTCTTTTCGACCTGAATAATTAGGCCGCTGATTTTATTAGATATATGGGGGACATTTTTTCAGCTTACCGTTCCTTGTGGTAACAGATGCTCGTACCCTTTGCATATACCTACACACATAAACTTTACAAGCCGAAACTCATTCAATTCTTATACATAAGCATCCATATAGGACAGCCTGCAAGATTTTAGTAAACCCCGAAATTTGAACCTGATTAGTCCGGTTTACAAAAAAGCAATGGATTGGTCCGATCTCCGCTGACCATCCATATTAGCTAGCAGAATTGCTCTCGTTACTTTGTAGCACCATGTTTAGACCTTGAGTCAGATTTCACTGTCATTATTATTACTTTGTCTTTTTAAATGATTACCATGTTTCACTTTAAACCACGACTTTTTCATTATCGATCAGTGTTCTTTTCTTCTCTACCTAACCTTTAAATTCACCTAATTTTTAGAATTGATCAGCTGATCCGTTATTATTATTATTATTATTATTATTATTATCGTTATTACTATTGTTACGCTTCACATTGAGTGTTTTATGCTTGTGTGTAGGTTATGAGTTGTTTATTGTATACATTGATTTTAATACTGTTGAATAGATTTCGATGATCAAGAGAGAAAAAAAAACAATAGATTTTACAAATATATTATTTATTTATTTATTTATTATTATTAAGTACACATTAGTGTATAATCACTAACAGTAGGTTATCGGTCGTTTCAAGTGAAGTAGATGAAGCGAAACTTTTCCTCAAATGCCCTGATACGGACGAGAGTGAGAAGAGTCAACTCTCCCTCTGCAAATGCTCTCACATGGCTACGCGTATACACCCACTGCCAGGGAAGTTCTATTCACTGCCTTCTCGCGGTACCGGTGTTGTTTGCCAAATTGAGAGGACGAAAAGTGGATATCCGTCACTTTAACCGGGTTGGTGGATATGGAGGATCAACTTAGGGCAGTTGCGAAACCCTGGTTCCAAACTAATGGTGCACATGGGCTTCAGGATATTGGTCACTGGTTACCATGGGACTGCATCTCCTGACATTGTTCCACTACCTTGTGGATCAGACCTTTAGGTCGAAGGCTCCGGATGTGGCTCCCTAAGTAAACCACCTGCTCCAGTTTGGGCACCCGGGCAATATCATAGCACATATACAGATCAAGTGACTTGTTTGATGCACATGTATTCGGTGCTCCTTTGTACCAATATTTATGTGTTCAAATAAATAACATTTACACTATAATATTCTGTTTAATATACTAAATGAAGCAACAACAAAAAATGATCAAAAGGTGACTAAATATAATAACATTTATTTGTACATTCAAGATATTGTGAATAATCATAGTTTCTCCTTCAAAATCTTTATTCAAAATTGTCCATGAAATCTCGTGTTTCTGTTAATTTCTCATAAAAATCCAACAATCGATTTTAATCGGGTCGTATATTATGAAATTCATGAATCGGCAAGATTAATGATAACAGGTTTTGTATTTTGGCGCGAAATTCATTTACATCCATTTGGCTAAATAGCGTTTTGATATTTTAGTGGATATCAGTTCGTGATGAAACCTTTAAGTCCAATTCCTAACCCTAACCGTCAACTGTAAATCATAATCCTTATTCTTCACACAGGTTTATAACATTCACTTAGCCCTAGTACGTTGGTGGACGTTTTCTAGGTCACTTGAAAGTCGTCCATAAATTATAGTTCCACTCATTAATTTTTTCTTTGAATATGCACGTTATATAATAATCAATATTGTGTTTTTCTACTCTGAAAATCAATTACATACAGGTTGATGCAATTGCCAATCCAGAATTGACCAAAACTACTGTCTCCAATTCTTATTGTTTAGATTTTGATACGATTGACACGAATTGGGAAACATTGAAAAATGAATATACAAGTATAAAGAGTATTGATATAGCCAACGCTTTAATGACATGTGGTTATGATGAAAAACAAGCGATGGATTTTATGATGAAATCGTATTCTAATAATAATGGTAATACAATTGATAACAGTCTACTATTGGAGCAGGGAGAAAATGAAGCGGACGAGCAAAAGACTATAGTTTTCATAAATAATTTGTTTAAATTCCGTTCAACTATTCAATACCAAACTGGTCGAAACGTTTAATAATGATTGTTGTCGTTGTAGTATTCTTTCTCCAAAAAAAAAGAACAAACTTTGACTTCAGGTGGTGTAATGTATAACATTTTCTTCTTTTTTTTTGAGAAACGTACATTATTAGCATAATCCATTTTCTTTGCTTTATCAACACGGCAACAATTCACGCTTCCTTCGTCTACATGATGTGATTACAATTAACTTGGTATTTATTTATGTGTGTGTGTTGGGGGCGCCAGTGTGATTAATTCGAATTTCGCTATATTGAATAGGCTTGTATTGGTAGTTGTTCTTTTTTATTCTTCATCTTTGTACTAAACCTGTTTGCGGTCCTTGTCTTTTCGTTTATATTTGTACATATGTTCATGTGTACTATTGTACCGTTGATGAATATATAAATTTGATAGGCAAATATATGCATACATTTGACAATAAATGATAGTTTTTTCTTCTTCTTGGATATCGGTTGTTATATTTTTGTAGAATGAAGAAACGACTTTTTTTTGTCAATGAGGTGATTTGATATAGAATCATTAGAGTGTATACTAGAAATTAGACTGGCCACTAACTAGATCGATAATCCAGATAGTACATCACGATACTAGACCAATGTCATACGCAAATTTAGTTCTAAAATACCCAACTCACGACTAAAAATAAAATATAAGCACAAACAAAACATAAGTAGCCAACACAGTGAACTCTCAGTGGAATCGCCTAGACTATAATTTGTGGACGAACCAATCAAATCGCAAACAGTAATTCTTGTGGTTTGGTGCGAAATTTATTCATTCATATAGTTAAATAACATTTTGGCATTAGAGCTGATGTTCTAAATACTTAAAGGACTATAATTTAAATATTATGGATGATTAGTTATACGTCATTGTAAGGTAATATTCTTATTGAGAAACTTAAAAATGAAATTTATCTAGTGTTGATAGCCACAGCGACCTTAGAGCTTAAGGAGTAGTATTTCTCGACCTTAAGGCGGCATTTGACTCTGTTGATCGTAAGGTTCTATGGCAGTGGTTGTCACTGAAAGGAGTACCAAAGAAGTATATTAACCTTATAAAGGCTCTCTACTTGAACACAACTGGTCGAGTGAGAGCTTGTGGCGAACTGTCATCAGAACTGATTGTCTCAAGTGATGTTCGTCAGGGCTGTCCACTCTCTCCATTCTTGTTTAACTTTGTTGTTGACGTGCTTTTAGAAATAACACATTCCTCATCTAAATTTCTAGGAGTTGAACTCCTACCGGGAGATCCGCTTGTTGACTTAGAATATGCCGATGACATAGTTCTATTTGGTGAAGACGCTGACAGAATGCAGAGTCTACTGACCACTCTAAGCAACAATGCAAGCATGTTCGGCATGCGATTTTCTCTGTCGAAATGCAAAATGTTGCTTCAGGATTGGGTTGCACCGCCACCCGAACTAGTGATAGGGAGTGAAGTAGTTGAGCGTGTCGACCGCTTCACTTATCTCGGAAGTCTCATCACCCCTTGTGGTTTGGCGTGTAACGAAATCTCAGCATGGATACAAAAGGCTCGACTAGCTTTTGCCAACTTACGTCGTTTGTGGCGTAGGCGAGATATCCGTCTAGTAACCGAAGAACGTGTTTACTGCGCAGCAGTTCGTTCCGTCCTACTTTATGGCCGTGAAACGTGGCCAGCAAGAGTAGAGGATATTCGTATGTTACTAGTATTTGATGATAGGTGTCTTCGAAACATTGCTCGTATATCCTGGGACCACCGAGTAAGTAACTCAGTTGTTACGAAACGGGTACTAGGTAAGGGTGACAAGTCAATTGATGAATTAGTGAAACTTCATCAGTTGAGATGGCTGGGAAACGTGTTACGTGTGTCCAACCATCGACTGCCCTGGCGAGCGTTGTTTTATGGTGTAGGAGTAGGTTGGAAGAAAGCTATAGGCGGCCAGACCAAAACATGGCAAAAATCCATGAAGTCATTGACAAGTGGACTGAGCCATGTTGGTAGGTGTAGACTACTTGGTTGGGGTCCGCGAGATGATAGCAACCGATGGTTAGAGACCTTGAATGACATGGCTCAAAATCGTTTGCAATGGCGCAGGTGCATCCACTCTTTGTGTTCTCCCAAACACTAATTTTCTGAATTCTTCATGTCCTTTATTTTCTTTCCAAATCTATTCCACTGGATTACACTCCTTAAATAACATCATCAAACCTTAATGTTCCCTATCACTACTTATACTTTCAGTACCTCTACCACTACGGGATTCGAATCGATAACTGAATCTCGGTGCTAATGTGGTATGGCAACTCGAACTGATGTACGTACGTACGAAGTTCCACGTTGTTACTGACTGAAACTACTTCAGACTAATTACATAATGTTCTTTCATAAATATCCTGTTTCAGATTTCGTTATCTTAATTCTAAACCTTACTGTGGGCAATAAAATTAAGTGAAATGTGTAGGTGTGCGGCATTTCTAGGATCAAGTTTTTCGTAATTTCTCTATAGGAAAAAAAATTTAGCGAAGGCCTTAGATACATGTTAAAAACCCCAATAGATTTAATATAACAACTGTCTACTCTAAATCTTGACAATTTCACTCATACTGTAAACTAATATATATATATATATATATATATATATATATATATATATATATATATATATATATATATATATATATATATATATATATATATATATATATATATATATAACCAATATAGCTAGCTAGAATTGTTAGTGTAAGCTAGGGTACAAGTACTATCTAAAGATCAATCAAATGCTCAATATTCAATTATATTGAAATGTCAACATTATTTGTCTCTGTAAAAATGTATACAATTTGACACTGTTTGCCGAATAATTCCTCCTCCTCCTCCTTCAACAACAACAACAATAAAAATCACCATAAAATAACCTACCATTACACAAACATCAATGTCATTTACAAGAATAAGAAATAAATTTTCTTAAAAGGTGAAAATATTTGTGCAATAAATAAAGCTTAGTGAAGTATTACTGATAATAATAACAATAATAATGGTAGTAGTAGTAGTAGTAGTAATAATAATGAAAGTATAATAAGAAACCTTGATGAAGAAAGGGTACTTTGAGTGTTTCTTGTTCTAGAAAAACGATTTTCTATTATTTGTATACATATGCATGTAATGTTGTATAAATATGTCGGTATATTTGTATTTGGTATGTATGTCTGTGTGAAAGTGTACTTGAATGTATGTATAAAAGTGAATTCGTGCGTAATGTAGATTCAATGTAAGTGTGTGTACATTATATCTAATGTATATACGTACACGTTTGTGTGAGTATGTATGTATCACCGAGACACAAACATAAAATAATAATCTCAAATTAAAATAAAGAAAAACAGTGCATACTACTTTTAAAAATTCTGTACAAATTATCTAAACACTGGGCTCTTCTTTGTCAAGAAACCAAGATACAAACATACACACACACATATATATTATTTTATTATTTTTTTCTATTCAAAAAAATGAAAAGGGAACAGAAATCAGATTACATAGGTAAGTAAATAATAAGTAAGTAAATAATCTGTGTTTTTCATTTATAGAAACAATAAACCAATGATGAGATCTGAGCAACAAGAAAGTAAAAGAGAGAAAAGAAATACACTCAAAATTCAACAGCACCGAAAAGTAAATTAAAACGCACACACACACACACAACAATAACATTAACAACAACACTGGAATGGAATAAAAGTTTCTTCAATAAAAATGATATAAATAGTAGGTTGGAAAAAACCCACATATCTATACATACAAGCACACACACACACACCTACATACATACACAATCTTATTTATCTGTCGGGATAAGGACAAAATTGATTATGCTATACTTTGTAATTTCTCTTTTAATTCAATATTCTCTGTCATTAATTGTTCACACATGAATTTTAATCGATTAACTGTTTGTAAATTCACACTGGATAATGATGTTGACGCTGATGTCAGTGTTGATGAGTCCGATGGTGAAGTGAGATTTTTCAAGAATGGGAACCATGTCGTTGAATTGGGGAAATTTGATGATGATGATGAGAGAAGAAGATGGAGTAGTTGCAGACGTATACGGTGAAATACTTGACGGAACTGATCGATATTGACTTGAGGATACTGCTGAAGTTGGTATTGAAGTAGTAGTAGTAGTCGTAGTAGCAGTGACAGTGTCATTGTTACCATGATAAATTAATGGAGATTGAAGATAATTATCTAATCCCTTTTGTATAACTTTGCTTTTAGCCATTAAATCTGCTTCCAAACGTTTTTTACATCTTCGAAGAGTACAATTTTCTTCTTGAACTTCTGACATTCGATCGATTATAGCCTGGTAAAAATTATTATAATATATAAATATATGATTAAAGACTATATAAATGGTAAGATGATGCTAATGATAGACTTTCAAATATACAAGTGTATTCTACATATTCCGGTTATCATTTGACTCAACAAGTAATTATGACATTAAAATATCTTTAATACGATATCTTGCAAAAATACATTCCGATTTGTTTGAAAATATTCATCTTCAAAGTCACTTGAAACCCAGAAACGCCGGTAAACAATTTATTCAATCAAAAATTGAAAAGAAGTTCAGCAGAAACATCCAAAATCACGTTGCCACGGTTTTGATTAGATATTTACTTACATACTGCTACAGAAATTTTCAGAAGTCTAAGGTCGTTTTTAACTATATAGGTACCCTTGTTTTTGTACGGAAACTAACTTTGAAATAAGGGTTTTATTCTCAATACATGCCTCTTCTTTATGGTTCTAATTGACGTGTAGAAGTAGTTGAGATTATAGGAACTGTCTAGGAAGATAGCTTATTACAATTCGAAGTATCACACTCAACAACAACAGGAACTTCACAATTAATACATCAAGACCGAAGAAAGCAAAAACACTTAAAAGAGATTATAATGTATGTAATTCCTAATTTTTCTAGTAAATTATTTTATCAAAGAAAACAAAAAACAGATGATCGATAAAAATTACGTAACCAATTGTTCGATTGTAAAGTCGCACACCGTTAGTGAATATGACAATTTAATAAATCTATTTGGGACTTTTAACCTCAATCGAATTGCAACCATAACACATGATCAATCAACTAACATTGTACTCATTATTTTCTTAATCAAAACAGTGTTTATTGTGAGAAAGTCGCAACGACCCAAAATACCCCCGGCCTAAAAAAAACATTAGCATGATCAGCATTGTTTTGAATTATCTTCACAAACAAACGAAAAAACACATGATTAAGATTAGACATTAACACCGCTGGATGCCAGCTGGTCCAATGACCTAGAGATTATGTGGTCGTGCATGTGACCGAAGGTCCTTGGTTAAACTAGCACATGAGCATTGCTGAACAGTCCCAAACCAGGACGAAACGACCGTCCAGTGTTTCTAGGTTTTTAATAATAGTTTGACTTAGATCAGTTCATGATTTCAACGAAATTCAACAAACTCCACAACTCTACACTGAAAAAAACAACGTCAGGAGATGCAGTCCCATGGTAACCGGTGATCCGTAGTTGGTTTATACACCATCTGTTTCTTCAGGATACTGGAGCCCATGAGCACCATTGGTTTGGAATCAGGGTTTTCCAACACTCCTAGGTGAATCCTCCATACCCACCATACCGGTTAAAGCGTCGGACATTCGCTTTTCATCCTCTCTCTCTCAATTTTCTAAACCACACCCCCGCTAAGAGAAGGCAATGAGTAGGAATTTCCTGGCAGAGACTATATACGCATAGCCATGTGAAAGCATTTTGAGAGGGACAGTGTACTCTCTCCACTCTTGGCTATACTAGGGCATTTGGGGGAATACAAAAGAATATATATTCTATTTTTTACTTACTTTAAAATCAGCTGTTGAAAAAAATCCTGGAGGCATTTCATGAAAATTAGTATTTTTTGGCATAGATACATTGGATGACTTATTATTCATTATTGAATCATTCATAATATCATCAGATGTTGATGTTCCTAAAATTGTATGATTTATATTATTATTACTAGAACATAATGATGATGAAGATGAATGTAATGAATTTTTTCTTATTTGTATAGATGTTTCCATATCACCATTTTGATTACGTATAAATCGACTTAATTGACGTCTTAATTCATGATTTAATTTTTCACTACGACGTTTGATTACATCAATTTGATTACGTAATTCACTTTCAAGAATATGAAATTGATTACATTTCTCTTGAGATTGATTTAATTCTATGGTAAAGGATTTATTTTCTTTAGTTAATTTTTTAATTATTTGTTGATTATTTAATAAATCTAATAATAATTTATTTTCAATGGTATCAATTTTATTATTCAAGTGTTCAATGGTTTGTTTTAATTTATCATGAGTGAGATTAGCTTGTTTTAATGAATTTGTAAGTGTTTCTATATCATGAATTAGAAATGCGGGAATTTGATTCAATTCAAAATTTGCATTATGATTATTAGTTTGAATTGATTTATCTTGTAAAGTAATGATAATTGTTTGACAAAAATTATCTTGTCGACTACTACTACTACTACTACTATTAGTAGTATCTGTATGATTAGATGATAATTGTTGTGATAATTTATCTAATTCATTTGTTAAACGATAACATTCAGCTTTTAATGTAGATGATTGTAATTGAAATGATGATTCAGTATTAAATAATTTATCACGTAATAATTTATTTTCTTGTTTTAATTCTTCTAATTGTGAATTATGATTAGAAAATATAATTTGATTATTAGTTAATGTTGATTGTGTATAAATTAATTCTTCTTCTAATTGTTTAATACGTTTCTCTGCACGTAATTTTGCATCATTAGCTATAATTTGTGCTTCACGTAAATCAAGTAATTGAGATTGAAAACGTTGAAATTCTTCAGCAGATATAGAAGTAACCATAAGTGGAACTAAGATGTAAATATATATGTATGTATGCATATACTTTACTCTTTCTATGTATATAATTTATTAGCAATAAAATTATAAAAAAAGGACAAAAAATCAAGTATAATTAACACAGATTAGATGAGAAATAAAAGTACACTTTCATTATTATTATTATTATATATATGGATATATTAGATGGTGATAATAGCACTAATGAATGAACTTACGTTTTTGTAAGCGTGAAGAGTTTATGAATTGTTAAATTATGGTAACTTTATATCAATAATTGAGTTTATTAAAACTTAAGAAATAGTGGTTAAATATTTTGTTCTCAATATAAAACTACTCAGTGATAGTGTAGCATTCACGACCTCGTTATGAATAGAACTTAAGACTAAGAGATAAGTGAGACCGTTTGTATTTTTCTTCTAACAAAATAACATGATTATATATTAAATACTGAACATAAGAAAAAATGTGATTACAAGTTATTTAACAATTAGGTAATTCACTCTACAATCGGATTAATGCGTTTTAAGTGTAATTGTTGCCCCATGACACCAGTCTCTGATTATCTATAAAACGAAACCTATTCCTAACAATATTCCAAAAATCAGAAATAATTGTACAGTCTGTTCGTTTGTTCATATTGGGGTGATCCAATAAACTTCTCGCAAAAGACAAGTAAGGCTCAGGAAACACTAGGAAGCAGTTTATCTAATCAGCGTTCAATAGAAGTTTAACCAGAATCATCAAGAAAGTGAAAAGTAACATATCGAGTTTGACTGATTACTACACTGCTACTAAACATAGTAGCATTCCAGAATCTTCAGGAAACCCAAGGACATCTAAAATACTATAAAAACCCTATATTTTCTGTACTAGAACGAATCTTTGGAGTAAAGTGCTCCTCGCATATTTTGCGCCTTTTCTCTCGTGTTCAGGTCTCTGTGTAGTTCTAGCTTGAGGGTTACAAGAACAGCTTAGGAACCGAATATAGATTCGAATTAGCAAGACTTATCAGGTCAACACAGGTAGATATAAATACTATGCCAATCTCCCACAATCAATATAGAGTCTGGGACAAATGTATATTGTCCAAGTTGCTATACCAAGCCGTAGCTCATACCTGGATGCAGTGATCAGGCTTACACATCACGATGACTTAATTTAACTGTTGGTTGGAACGTTTTTACCTTTAGGTCCTAAAATGCCAAGCAGTTTGGTTGGAGACTGGTAAAACTGAAAGCAACAAACTCATGATCCGAGGTCGAAATTGTCATTTCCAACTGTATAAGGGTGTGAAAGCAGTAAGGTGTTACCTCCAGACAACCAGCATTCCCAGAAATACTGCATTTTTACAACAACAAAAAAAAACGGACAGAAAAGATCGGCCCTAAAAATAATCTACCTCCGCTTGCCCCATAGATTTCCGTTACTAGAAGTAAAATTTGAAAAGTATGAAGCTAACAAAACAAAAGCTACTAAAAAATGCTGTGCACCACCAGCCTCAAGTAGCCGTCTCATGAGCACCAAGATTGAGTATTTAGGCCGCCAAGACCACCCTTCACCCAATTTTTTTTTCAGATATCTTAAAAAGTATGCATCTATGGTGTGAAAAACCGAGAAACGACAACCATTCTTGTACCCTGAACAGCACTCGATATTAAATTACCCAAAAATATACAGCTAACGTATACAGTATCGTGTAATTACCTGTTATCCCCCCCCAAATGCCCTGGTACGGCCGAGAGTGCGGAGAGTCAGCTCTCCCTCTCGAAACGCTCTCAAATGATCATGTGCATACAAGCAATGCCAGGGAAGTTCTACTCACTGCCTTCTCGCAGCGCGGGTGTTGTTTACGAAATTGCGAAGATGATAAGCGAATGTCTGACTCTAACCGGGTTGGTGGACATGGAGAGTCCACCTAGGAGAGTTAGAAAACCATGATTCCAAACCAATGGTGCACATAGGCTCCAGTATCCGGAGGGGAGAAATGGCGTATGAACTAATTATTGATCACCGGTTACCATGGTACTGAATCTCTTAACATTGCTTCATTGCCTTGTGGATCAGACCTTTATGTCGAAGGCTCCGAGTGTGGCCCCCTAAGAAAACCACCTGCTTCGGTTTGGGCACCCGGACAGTATCTTAGTCCTCACATAAATCGAATGATTTATGTGGCGCATATATATTTCGTGCCTCCTTGTACCAATGTTTATGTGTTTAAATAAATAAATAAAATTTACTGATGAAACTACCGAGCTGTTAATCGATATGAGCAAATAGCACAAAAAAACATCATAATTTTGTATGATAAAGTGCTAAGACAACACTGCCGAAACCATCCCCCCTTTCCATCGACAATGAGAACACACCTTTCAAAATAACCTTATCGACGAAAGACTTACGCACACATATGACTATTGAACTATCAATCAATATCTTACATGAGTGGTAACAAATCATTGTGTACACACATTATTTTTTTCATGTAATCCGCCTTAGTGAATGGACAACAAGAATGTTGAGATTATATTTTAAACACTAAAAGACAACAACACATACTAATCGATAGATCTTGAGAGAGAGAGAGAGAGAAATATAAAGTGTATGTTGATCCTTTTTTTGAGTGAATTTTAAGAAAAGTTAGGTGTGTTTACACATTATATTGCAATATTGATCATAGTGTTTGGAGACAGTTTTCATTACAAACTGATAGCAGTAAAAAAAAAACGATAGGAACTATTTATAACAATTAACGTCTTCAATCATGCCATTGAACGAATCAATCAAAACATAAATCAATTATAAATTGAAACGAGGGAATGATATGAGTAGTTGGAGATTATTAAGAAACCTGTTCATTTTACATTTGAACAGTGATGTGAACACTGGATTGACTTATTAATAGCTTGTAATTAGTTTTATTTGATAGTAACCAAATAAGTATAACCGAAAACCCGTAATATAAAAAAGCGCAATACGAAGATTTTATTTTTTTCTCTAACTTCATAGATTTATTCTATATATATATATATATCTCAAAATAAGAGTCTACTTTCAAAACAATTAGTCCCTTTGATAAATTTCGATAATGAAATGGAAAGACGGAGGTTATTAAGATTATGTGATATATTTGCGTAATACATTTCGAACAATCTGACCACACATATACTTGTTAAGGCATTTTATATGGAAAATAAAAGGTCAACTAGATAAATTAAAAACTAAGCGGAAACAAAGATAATAATAAAGTACACAAAAACAATGTGAAAAACACTCTGGATAACAAAATCAGTATTACAAGGGTAGGTTAAGAGTAAAAACAATTTGTTTTTGAACACATAAAGGGGGTTTCAGTTTTCGTACAGCCAAGGCTTCAATAATCGTTATTATATGCCTTTTAAGGCTTTTGTACAAAAATACAAAAGCTGACTTGATATTAACCTAATGACCGGTCTCAATTAAATGTTTTGGAGGATGTTTGTCTATCTTGTGACTTTATCTGAATACTGGAATTCATTTGTTTTTGCAGCCACTTAGGTATGTGTTCAACCACCTTTACTTGAATATTAAGATTGCTCCTCTTTATGTGCATGTTTCGGCCCATACATGTAAATTGATAGACACAATGGGATGTAATACAATGACTTACGTGCTGTTTGGATTTTCATTGAAGCGTAGACCTTGTCTTTTTAATAATGACGAGTTGGGATGCATAAAATGTCTTATTGATTGATATTTTAAGTCTCCATTTCAACATGAGACTATTTGAGTCACCTCCAAATGGTAAGATAATGTAGACTTGCTTTATAGGTACCAGAAGCGTCATAGGTCTCAACGTATTGCAACTTTTCCAACGGTTTATAAACTTCAATTAATGACCGTTATTTATTAATGATTTAGTTAAGAGCTTCATGTCTCCTTCAATAGTATGACTAGTACAAATATGGTTGATCCTATTGAATAGGCCCTTTATTAATCCACGTTTGTAATGAATTAGACAATGACTATAGAAATTGAGATATTACCCTGTCTATGCCCGCTTTCTATATACTTTTATCAATAATAACGTTGAAAATCACAGCTAATTAGGCATACACAGGGAATTATTAAGCCCTGCGTTAAGTATGCCCAGTCATTAGATTATTGACATGCGGCACTAACTGGGACAGGAATAGGTTGGTAGGAATCTAGGGGACAAAAAAAACCAAGACGTGGGTGGCTTTAAACCATGGAGATATTAACTATTGGACGGAGTTGTATTGGCAAGTACTGGCTACATGGTTGACGTAATATGACAACTCGTACTAACATACTGTTGTACCAAGTTCTATTTTGATTATGACAGACTAGCTGACGAAAAGTAGGTCAACAACAAGGAATATTAGTAGACCAGATGTTTTCCGGATTACATAAGCGATTTAAACACTTGAAGGCAATTCTCCGCCTTCAGAATAAAATTTATCAACGCTTGTAGATTTTGACAGATCTAGCTTCACAGACATGTTCATTTACGTTTTTTAACACTAGGATTCAATCTAAACTATAGATAATGAGTTTGAAGTGTGAAAACATAAGGATGTAAGACCCAGATATAGACTGTAATTTGAGAACAATGAACAAGTTAATAGATACTAATAACATCACTTCATTTAATTCAAGTGCCTGCATACATAGAGGCTGATTTGGATTTATTATGAAAAACGAGTTATGATTTAGATGTTTCAAATAAACTCAGCGTTTCGCATTATTTTGACAACAGAAACTTAAATATTTTTGGTATGAATTTAAACATTCTTGAGTAGTACCGCATTCCTTCATTAATTTATGATAATCTTGTGCATAAAATAAAGTTTTATTGGCAGTTTAGAAGAGACAGTTTGGTTAGTTCATACTGGGATGCTTTCAAGTCACCTAATTAGTAAACAAAATATAGAAGTATAACAAAGTGGACAAGTTTAACAATTGCCATATTTTCAATAGAATAAAATAACACAAAATCAATCAACGTTTTTAGTTGAAACAAACAATATATTAGGGCGTGGATAAATGTAAATGTAATTGAATATACATGTGTACAGCTAATTAGTCAACTATTTGACTTACATAAAGATGTTCGAACTAGAAATTTAATTGATTCGTATATAGAAATGCATAATACGAGTATCAAATGAAGCCAAAGGAATTGGATACATTCAATAGAATAATCATATACGTTTATATGATTTTAGTCTGTGATAAATAATTCCTATAAAAACAAACAAATATTTTATTTATGAGAATACTAAGTGTTAAAATTTACCAACATAATTACAATAATGCAACAATTTGAACTGGGTCAAAAAATAAGTGAACAACGAATATTTATTCAGTGTTACTACTAGTCGGTCATATTGATGGCAGAGTGACTTAAATTTATAAGTACAAGCATATAGCCCAAATGTACCGGTACGGTCGTAGGTGGGGATATTCCTGTCCCCTCGAAATTCCCACATACAGCCATTTATTTATACACTGCCAGATAACTATCATTCAATGGGTTGAGATGGTATGGTTTCTATAAAGCAGAACATTTGGCACTTAAACCCGATTGAAAGAGAAAAAGTTCGAACTACAGGGGTAGAAAAACACTGATTCCAAACTGAGAGGGTGGATAGGCTCCAAAATCCCAAGGAAGCGGATAGTGTACGCACCTGTTTTAGTCATCAGCTACCATGGGATCGCGTTTATCAACGTCGTTCTGATGTTTTGTGGGCTAGAGATCTAGGTTAAGGCGCCCCCGTTCTAAAGAAAGCCACTTACTCAGCCTGTGTACTGGTAGTAACCCAGCTCATACATAGATATGGTAACCCATAGTAATGAGAAAAATTGCCTTCTTACTGCTCCCAGCTATTCGTGCAAGACGATATTAATAATTATACTCTAAAGTATCTAAAATATAGATGACTTACACTGATTTTTCAAATAATAGCTAAATGACAATACCCCCAAACTCTTACATAGAACAGGGTTCAAACCTACAATATAACTAAAAGTTGTTCTGAAGTTAATTCGCCGCCATGAAAAGTAAGCCTGTCGCATACTAATGTTTAAAAATAATAAAACAGCCTAAAAGCGAACGACGAGACATCACTGTCAAACACAAGCTGTAGTTACATCGCATAACAATTAAGCTGAATGGATGTCAATTTCAAATATCTGCGCTCGTATTTATTTGGCCTAGGTTTGTTGGCTATGCTGTTTATGAGCAACATACGAGTGGATAAGACATTTTGAATGTAACTTATGGCTTATCAATAATTTATATTTCGCGTCTTTACTTTTGCTGAACGACCCAGCTTATTTTTGGCTACCACAATGTGTAAGGAGCAGATACAGCATGCATTTGTCACTGTTCTAAACAAAGCCTTAGCTCATAAATTGTCCGTTGGATCGAGTGTTATCCTGATAAATGTGGCGAAATACGTTCTAGAACAATATGTTTTTGATAAGGATCGTCAGTGTAATTAACTAACGAACAATGGTTGAAAATACTTCTTTGTGATCTTTAGAGGTAAAAGTATAACATACTAACGGCTTTGACTAAAGCAATCAGAATTAAGATAACACACTGACCAATTTTCAACAGGTTTAAAAAGCCGTGATATATAACGTCTGTTATTGTTATAAAGTGAAAATTGTCAACATATGGTCCTCGTGGTGTTTTAAATCAATGAAAATATCTGTTGCACAAGAAAAAGTCACATTTTAGGCAGTGTTTAGGTTAAATTACATGACATGTCTGTTTTTAAGACAGATTGTTTAAATACCAAATGTCGTCCAATGAGTAATCAAGTTTGGTGGAGCTCATGTTTTCCCTTCATTACCCTCACCCAAAATTTCAGCATCAAGTTCTCTAAGCTTGTAAACAGAAGAGAGGTAAGGCGGTCTATTATGCAACATTGCATTATAGCTGGGGTTAGTTCATGTTGAAAACCAAGATCCTAATATATAAACTCGAAAAAGAACTCCAGCTTAACGCTTAATATCTAACCCTACACTTTTTGCGTTATGACTGACACCAGTTTGTGAAGAAAACTCTGTGGCGTAATAATCCTTACTTACAATATTAGCCCAACTTCTAGTAATGAACATATATATGAGAAATAAATAAATAATATATTTGTAATATCCCAATGAGTAGAAAATTAGATTTTTTTTTCTGACGTTTCGTAACTTAGTGTAAGTCACTTCTTCAGAGAATAAATAATCAAATTAAAATTAATCCAAGTTTAAATAGTACAACGGAACGATACAAGAATAACATTATTCTTGTATCGTTCCGTTGTACTATTTAAACTTGGATTAATTTTAATTTGATTATTTATTCTCTGAAGAAGTGACTTACACTAAGTTACGAAACGTCAGAAAAAAAAATCTAATTTTCTACTCATTGGGATATTACAAATATATTATTTATTTATAACAATCAACCCAATGCTCAATTTATTCGAAATTATCAAATCAAACCTTGGTAATGATACCTATATATATGAGAACATGGTTTTTTCCTTGCTATATAATATCGTTTACCTGGAGAGCTTTAATTAATACTATCAAAACTGTTATTTCGTTAATTAGTATTATTAATTGTCTTATAGCAAAGTGGCGCTTCCCAAGTGGCTGATAAGTCACCCAAGGTCGTCAGTACATTATAATCTTACCGTTTCTGAATTTAAAATTCTAGGGGACACCGAAGCACTTGACAGATTTTTGGAGGAAAAATACATAACGAAAGTCGAGAAGAATAACTAAACACTTGGACGAAATAGAAAAGAGCTCTTTGAGCAAGAGGATCTCTTTTTATGCGACTATTTACCAAAGCCATACAGCCATTTGTACAGTAGTTGTCGCTGTAACTACTACTGACAAACACATCACTAGCAGTCTTTGTGAACAGAACGAAAACAGTTCTACAAAAGAACCACATAGTTACTGACAGGATTGAATTTAGAAATTTTATGACATTCCATTACGAAATTCGATTTCTCCACATAGCTTAAAAGTAAGATCGCCAGTGAACAGCCGATCAAGTAACACTTACTAACGCAAACAAAACAAAGGGGGTGAAGGTGAACACAAGGGAAGTAGAGGGAAACAAAGTGTAAATAAACGTGAAATGTCTGTTTCTCTCCACTGGTGTCTGTTTATCACCAGTCTCCGTGTTCATACACCATTGGACTTACGCAATAACACACTCTTCAAACTTAAAATTACTGAATACATAGTACAGTTTTAGTTAGATTTTTATAGAAAGCCTACCTAACTGTAGGGAAGAAAATGTACCGCTATGTAACGCATCTTTCATATGCTTGGCCATATAGGATTTCACTGTCCAAAATTATTACGGAAAATACCATGTACAATAACTCTGTAACGAGCTAACATATACCTATATAATTCTTTGTACTCATTTGTTGACGTAAAGATACAGTTCCAAATATTTGGTGGTGTCAATTTAATCGAATTCTGGTCACTTGACTGTACTAGTTCTTGTCAGTTTTTTAGTTATTCATGGATTTTAATCCTTTATTGACCAACGTGGGCAAGCTAGCCGTTATTCTGAACTAATCTTCTTGAATTTGATGATTTATTGGGGGTTAGCTTTTATCGAGTGTAAATGAAGGTGTTTGTTAGAAGGCATAGAAGTTGATAGGTTCAGAACTCATTACAGTATAATGAAGTAGACTGGTTGATTGTAATATAAGAAGTTATAACATAGGAATAAAGATAAGTAAAGAGAAGACAAAAGTTAGGATTGTTTATTTAAGAGTTTACACAAAAGATGCAAATAAGTAGAAGACTGGAAGTAATAAGTAGATGGAAACGATAATGGTCTATAATAACAGATGTAATAATAACAAGGACAGTAGTCCTGGTACTCTTGCGTGTAGTGAAATACAATTTGTTCTTACATTAAACCTAATCTGGTTGTTTTTGAGTGTGTGATATTTTTATGCCAAGTTATCACGAGATTTGGTGCGTCAGTATTAACTAAGTCTGTGTCACTGGAATAATTGACTTATTCCGAAATTTAGATCTGTGACGATGTAACTGCCATATTCAAATGTACTAGCGTGGAAGTCGTATCAATGTCTAGACCGATTCACTCAAACTAGACTTGACAATATTCCGTTTAATACTTCTGCAGAACATAGTTAGTCTGTAAATATAATGATTTAATTATTATGAATATGAGGAAGACATATATCATAAGTCATATGGTTCTAAACTATTGCTGTGTAAACTCATATTCTGCTATCAAATCCTACCACGCTAGTGGTTTATTTTAAAGTTCATTTCGTGGACATATTTAGCCGTTCGATCTCATTCTGTTTGACAAACATGTTCATCAAATTATTTGCACACTTCACTTTTATTTCCTTGCTTTTTTTTAAAGTCAACCCAATACTCTTCCATATACTACAGAACCTGTTCAAATATGGCGAATATTATCTAAACATAACTGAAACTTGCGTATAATTGAATCTGCTCAGAAATCCTAAATGGTTTCTTCAAAACAATAGTGTGCCGAACACCACTTCATGAGTAATAGTAATTATTTTATGAGACTGGCCACACAAGTACGACCGAGACATGACATTCCGAATTAGTCTTACGTCTTTCATCATTTCCGACCTTATCGAAGTTTTAAATGTTGAATGTAAATCTTCCGAGATAATATATGTTCGGCTTCAGCGATCCTGAGGTTAAGTTTCAGTACCACAGCATGTCTAGTGTTGCTCAAAGTATCCTGGTTGATGGTAATAAGATGAAGCTTCCTGTTCTAAGAATTTTGTGACTCGATCGGTTATTCGATTGGTCCCATTAGGTCACTCTCGCACGTTATGTTGTTCGTTTGTACAGCGAGTCATTATTAACATCCACAAACTCGTTTGTTAGTTTGGAGAACTTTTGGACTGTATTTGAAGGTTTTAAGTCACATACATACGAGTCGACATCCTACCTGGGTGACTGCCTAGCCAAACGTTCCTTTGTTTTGTCAATTCTGATGAAAAAGTTTTACCTCAAACAGTAAACTATCACTCAACTCTTTTTACTAGATATTATCTTGTTTTACGCTAAATGGTCTACGAGGCCTTCTTGTGGAGGAATTACACGGAGTAAGAAGTTCAGCCATAGATTGATCTGCATCAGTATGTCCATAGCTTACAGCTTTGGATTTGTGAGATTCCTTATAGGGTTCCTTTTTTTGTCAAAGTATTGAGTTGTATCTCTTGAAGTTGTACGAATCTCAGTTGACTGGTGTAGTAGCAATAGTCTTGTAATCTGCTCTGAAATTAGTTTGTCACCCTTGCTTTAGTGCTTGTGAACTTGTGATTTAGTAGCGGGATTAAAGATGAGTGAATAAATTGAGTAGAATCTAAGGCTGAGACTACAATTTATGGACGAACCAATTATGTTCACAACAACAGACCCTGAGTTTTGGCGCGGTATTCATTCATTTGACCAAATAAAGTAGGGTGGATTTATCGGGAACGTTTCCATGTAATCCTGATGTATCGCCCAGTGTAATAACGATCATCTCTGCGTTCATGTAATCATAGGATTTTTCATTTCATAATATATTTTTTACTAACTAACTAGATTATGCTGTGAAATTTGCTCTGGTTATAATTCTTATTGGCATTTTACCTGATGTTAGTTCGCTATGAAAACCTACATCTGTTTCTTAGCCCTAACCGTCAATTGTATAAAATAATTTTATTCCTCTTGCTGGTTTGTAACCCTCATGTAGTCGAAGTATGTGAGTGGACATTCTCAAGGTCTCTTTAGCGTCGCTCAAACGTCGCCCATAAATGATTGTCTCACCGAAAATAGGTCAATAATACTCAAATATTTGTAAACTTATCTTTCAAAATAGTCACAGAAATAATAGAAGAGTCCACTTTAAATTATTTGCGAATCCTAGAGGACTTATCATCAGGTAAATCGCTTACATAAAGAGGCATGCTACTTTTACGGAGATTTTAAGGAATCACTGTACTTCGTAGCAGGACATTGCCAATAAAGCTCCTGTGAAATACCGTATAGATGTTTTTAGTGACTGCCACTTGTTATTCAGCATATATATATACACGGTTTCCACAAGGAATTGAAAAAATATATATTGAAATATCTGTGTTGTTGAGAGTAAGGAAATCTGCTTCTTAGTGAACTGAGAATGCGAGTAAATCGAATAATTTCGGATTGATTTTTATTGGAAAAAACACAATTTATCGCAAATGTTAAAACACAAGATAAGTAATTCGCCCAAATTCCTAAAAATGCAAAACCTGTGAAAAGACGGCACTTTTGGGATATTTTGCGAAGACGTTGAAGATTAAATGATTTTTATTTTGTTTTTGTAATTTATCAGCGTTTCGTTTTTTGTTTCTAATTGTGGACGTTCTTTGAATGGTGCGTTACTTCAACTTGGAACTTAGTAACGGTAACCACTACGAACTTTCTGAAGATTTTGATGGTTTTAGAATTTTTGGTTTTTCGAACGTGCCTTGATGTATTAGGCTTTTCTGGGACTTCCACTTCCATGGTCTATTGGGTTTTACCTACTTAAAGCGTCACTCAACCTATTTCAAAATTAAATTACATGAGATCGCATTGTTCTCAATAACAGAGGAATTTAACGGAAAACTACATCAATTACTCTGCAAAAAAAGTTTGATAATAATTTTTGAGGAATAAATATTGAGTCGGTTTGCTTGTGTGGCAGTAATTAAATTCGAACTATTTTCATTCAAGTTTTGGCTGTGATTAATAATAAACTATGAAATACATTAACCTGTTGTAACTAATAGTGATTAGTTCAAAGGAACCGGGAAGAGGCTTTTTGACGTGTTTATAGAGCACAAATTAAGGCATTTTACTTTGGTGATACTTCAAATTATACCCAGTTTTAGAGGAATCCAAACCACAATCTCTCAGTTTGACGGTGAATGCCTTTACTATTGAATCTCTACTTTGTTAGCAATGTGAATTCATCAAAGTGGGATCGCAGTCTTTTCATGAAGATGTCCTACATACAATTGAGAACTACAATGTAGTCACCATCGACATGTTTTCCCTGCTACATCTAATAAAGATTCAAGACAGTGAGTTGGATTATCTTTATAATGTGCCTTTACTCATAATATATCATTGCGTGATCAGTGAGTAAGGCTGTCCACTACTAGACACTATCATAAACAGAACACCTTTCTGAGTTCAATATCGATTTCCAGCGTCTTTTAGTAATACTGGACAAGAAATTCGCCCGAAACGAAGATGCAATTTCTCTTAAGCCTAAGAAATCGACTCTAGAGCATCTGACTAGACGCTCATTTCAACTGTGGCCAACCATTCTTCAAACCTCAGCATTGATTAGTCACCGCTGGATATGAGCAGTATTTCGAAAACAACTTCGCGTGTAAACTGTTAGCTCTCAAATCTGCTCAGTTCAATGAAACCATTTTTGGTAAAGGTAAAGCAAAACTTGGGTCACGGAACTGGACTCCTGTCTTTTTATTAATCACGCACCCAGACGGCACTTAACCAACAGGAATCCATCTGTTTCACTATACTCAAATTGATCTAAGAAACTTTCGTGTTCACAGCTTCGCAAGCATGACAGCTCACGGAATGTTCGCTATAGTTTACCTCCAAGATTGGGTGGGGTAGTTACAGTGATTGTCAACAGATACAGGCCTACACTGTGTTACTTATTGTCAGCATCGTTCATTGTCCGTAATCTTCATTAATTTGGTGGTGTTCATGAAATTGTAAAATCTTATTTCATCTGACTGTTTGTTTACGTACAGCATTTGTGTAGTCATATTCAAATAGTGATACTTCCTTAAAGATACCACCGATTTCTTTATCTTTTATGTTTTTCAACCTAGCTTTTAGAAATACCATGTTGGGACGTAAATTTTTCAGGCTTTTTCTCCGTCCATTGCTTTATCGCATATCACGAAAATATGGAACACTCAGTGCAACAACCTGTTGCTTTATGTATCCGATAAAATTATCTCATATTTCTACTAAAACTATGTCGAATTATCAATATATTGAATATCCCTTATTATCTTCATTACAATTACAAATAGACTCTACAATCACTTTTATAAATCAACTTCTTAGAGAATTTCATACACTTCTAATTAATTTAGAGCACATTGCTATTGAATATGGTGAATTACAATTATCTTATACGAATTCAGACGAGCAAAATGATGAATTATTATTAGAGCTACGTTCACAATGGTCTATACTTACGCATAAACTTGATAATATGGAAATAATTATACGTTCTTCTGTAAATATTTTACAAAATTCATTAGAAACTGCATTTTTGTACGAAGAATATATTAAGACAACACCTACTAAACACAATCATTTACCCAATGAAACTTTGATAACACAAGCTGGATTAACTTTTCATACAATAGAAAAAGAATTTGATGATCTTAAAAGTAAACGAAGAGATATTGTTAAATTATGGTCAACCCAGATAGCTGAAAATATTAAACGGTTTGGTAATTCATAAATAATCTTTATTTTTGTTAATTGATTAATTTGTTTGTGCTTGATTCTATTTTGTTGAAATAAAAAAATGGGTTCAATATACTTCTTTTTTTCTTTATTAATTCCTCATATTGGGTGTGAATTTTTTTAAACACAGTGCTGTTTAATTATTATACTATTATTTAGACTCCAATATTTGTGATTAATTCAAAGTTGAGGGTTGTTTATGTTCCACTCTCAACCTACGGACTCATTTTGTGGGTAAAAATCACCCTCAGAATAAAATTTCCTGAGGTCGGTTTCAGCCGTTTTTAATTAGGTGTTCAACTAATCCGTGGTTCTGTTTAATTGTGTAATGCATACACAGGATTTTTGATAATGGTTGAAATCTTGTTGCTAAATTATTGTTTTGGCTAATACTTTTTGTAGATCTTTTGGTATGAATATTACACTTTTAGAATCTATCGTGACAATTTTATAATTTTTCTCTTTTGAACATAATGATTTTAGTTACGAAAATAGTATGATTTATAAAATGGCGATTATTTGTTTAGTGTCCTTAATAATTTTTACAGTTCGTTCAGTTTAGACTTTTTTTATATACTTATTATTAGATTTCTATGATACAACTTGAAGCACTACCAAAGGCACAACAGAACCATCTTCAATGGGATGAAAGTATTTTGAACAAAGTTAAATGTAGTGTCGATGATTTATATGAGTTAAAAGATAAATTTCTAAATGAATGGGCTGATAAATTTGGTATATTAGACGATTCAGCAAGTGAAGTTTGGATGAAAGCTGATAATATTCATTCAATGATTATGGAGTCTTGTGAATTGAATAAAAGCAAGAATGAGATAACACAGTCAAAATTTGAAGACACAATATCCATATTCAAAGAATATGAGTCAGTTTTTATGCATGCACCTGTACTAGACAAGGCGGAATTCTGTTATCAGTATGGTAAAGTGAGTTTTTATCCTAAATGATGTGATAGTGTCCTTTCCGTGATGAAAAACTATAAAACGGATAAAATTGTTATATCGAGGAAATACAAAAACCATACATATGTGACCATAAAGACTGGTCAAAATTCAGTCCTGAATTTCGACAACGGGTTAATTTAAACCCTTAGTAATAATGACATAAACATCATACCCATTCAACAACTTGGCTTATATTTTGGTTCACTAGCTCAATGGATAACGCGTTAGGCGTTTGAATTGAAATATGTTGGGTTTGAGTCTCAATGTAAATATTGACGCTGGGATATGGCTGGTACACTCAGCTATGATGATTCTCAAATAAGATAAAACACGCTTCCTTAATTCCACTACTACCCACAATTAGTCTGTTCTATGAAACATGATAGGATCAATGAAATATGATTGCACTCGTTGAGTTCAAAGAAAGGGTAATACTGTCAAAAAGTATTGATTATGACATAAAGCAGCATACTGATATTTTTAAGATTGTGTCGAACATTCTTGGATCTATCTGCAATAAATTTATAGAATTGTTAGGTTAATTATTCCATATATATAGCTATACGAACCAATCTGTTTTTCTTACAGGGAAAACTATAAAATTTCCACTATTAATTGTAGTTTCTAATTTCTCCTACTCACTTAATAACTATATTAAATGCTATACTCATTGAATGGATTGTTGGTGATAGTGACATAGCCCACGTAGTAAACAATATTCTAGTATTGGAAAATACTGACATTAAAGTCGCACTATGAGTATGAACACTGAGACGAAAATCCATTTAACTGGTAAATTCCATATGTGATTGAACAGATACATTGGATTCTCACGTTAACCACTACTCAAATTATATTAAAATTGGGGTTACTTTAATTTAAGTCAGATAGTAGCCATCGTCAAGAACCCGGGAAATGTGTTTTATCCTGTTTGAAACTCGTCACACCTGGATATACATACATCCTAGTGTCGATGATGTTCACAGTGAGACTAGAACCAAGTGCCTTTCTCTTTAAATGCCCAGTCATTATCTACTGAGATACCAAATGCAGATAGCTACTAGCTTGTGCAACTGATGAGGTTCATTTGTGACGATTTCCATTTTACTGTCGTTGATCGGATGATCGATTCTACTAGTAATAACTATTTAACTTTAATAAAAACTTAGTGGTACATGGCAGTATCGAGGCGATCTGTTCAGAATACGCATATGCCAATAATAATAATAATAATAATAATAATAATAATAATAATATCGTTTGCCAGGTACTACCCAACTGTAGCTGTTATCTCGACGTAGTGGTCGGGCTCGCCTTTCGTGATGACTCGATTGGTTATATTGTCTGGAACATGTTCTTCTAGGTCCTACCGTGCCACGTAAGTTGGTTAGAGAACGGTTAGACTAGAAGCAGCAACTTGAGGTCCGATAGCAAAGTTGTACTGCTGACTGTAGAGGGGTATGACATCGGTAAGATACTTTTCTTGGGAAAGAGGCATCTGCAACGATGGTGCTTTTTGACATCGGAAAGGAGGGATTAGAAGAGATCGACCCTAAGAATGCCAGAACTCACCCTACCTTGCAGATTTCTGTCACCCCCGGTGGTAATGTCTTCTGAAGTGCGGAGCTAACACATCGAAAACGTCCCGCGACCGCCCTCAAGCAGATGCCCCTTGAATTATACACTCACGCACTAACGTTCAATGGATTAATCAGTTTGATCTTGTTCGTCGCTGTAAGCGTGCTAGGAACATCTAATTGTTAGTGGGTATACTAATCGTATACAGAACTGATTGATCCGATTAAAATGCCATGGCTGTTTTTTATTAAGCTGAGAAATCCGAGTGTAAAGTTTTCTTACTAATAAGTAGTTTTGATAGAACAGTGAGAAGACGGAGTTGATCTGATCTCATTGTTCTATCAAAATTTATACAAGGGACTAATTCATTTAACAGGTAGTTTTAATCAGTGGTTACAGTAATGAACGTTCTTAATCACTAGATTTGAAGACCTTTTGCTTTAGAAACTGCTGGAATGGAAGATAATCAGTCAGTCAGTCAGTTATCAGCGAAGTAGAACCTAGGAGATGTTCATCAGTCCAAGTTATCAGAGCATTTCAACACAATAAGAGGTGATAATATCGAGATATTACCAAATTGGTAGAAGTAGGCATAGTATCAGTGGTAGTAAAAACAATTGGATATATTGGATATAGTTCACAAAGAATGAATCCATGGAATGACAATTATAAAGTGATTTTAAAACTCAAAAATCTAAGGGAAGACAAACAATCAATGAATCTACGCTATTTTAACTGATTCTAAGACATTTCCTCCAACAACTTCAAATTTTGCCAGTCTAGACCTATCGACAATGCACAGGATCACAACCAATCATTTCATGGACTGTTTCCACGTTTCGCTTTGGCCGTTCCTAGTCTTCTTCCGAATTAATACTCATCTACTTCTACCAACATCGGTCGTTGAGGTGTTTTTGCGGCAGTTGGTGATACGTAATACACAGTTTATCTACCTTAATCTATGAATATTTACAACCTCAACTGACAGTATATATTATGAATTAAGTCCAACTTGACAATCTTTGCTTCACCTGTTACGCCAATACGAACAATTCTGGGTCTTGTCATCTAAAGTATAAAACTATGGGTTATGATAATTGCACGCATCCCAACCAGGTAGTTTGCATCTATCTACATGTCTTACTCCAACAATCACTGTCTTTATGGACTAATGCAACGTCTTGACTTGGCTTACTCCTAGCTTTCTTCCAGATGACATCACCCGTCAAGATAGGCTGTGGTTGGTTGATTCCTGATTTCCTCCTTTATTTTGTTAATATGTAGATTGTGACAACAATTACTTTCTTCTCGGGTTTCACATCTATTAAAATTAAAGTAGTCAATGAAAACTCCGTACGTCCATTAAAGTTTATCAGCTAAATATATTTTCGTATAACAGATTGACCATAAACCATACCTCATTTTATGTGGACTAATAGTTTTCTACTTGAACATCAGAGATTTTGGAAAGCAGATCTATTGGAACTAGTGAAATGTTCATGCGTTTTTGACCATATTTTTTATTCATATGACTTTTAATTATTCAATATATATTTATTAACTCAGTCCTATAGTAATATTGCAGTTGAAGAATAATTTTTTTATTTTCTAGAACAATTACACAAATTCAAATCCTTATATTATTTGTCAAATTAGTAACAACTTAGTAATAGTTCATTTGTATTGGTTGTTTGAGTCTTCTCAGTGATGTTTAGGACTCCAGTTGATTGGTCTTTTTTTGGCATGTATGCACCTTGTGCGGATTGCCTTGACTGATCAGTTGCAGTTCTAAACATCGATCCGAAGATTCGAACAACCAATACAAATGAACTAAACTTCGCATCATTGCACAAACCAGTGGCTATCTGAACTCAGTAGCTAAGTGGGTAACTCGATGGCATTGGAAGCGGACGATATTGGCTTTGAGTTCCAGAGTGAACATCAACTCTGGGATACAGATACATCCAGCTGACGGGTTACGAATAAGACGAAATGTTAATTATAGATTTCACTGCTAGCCACCGTCCATTTCTGCTTATAAACTAATAATAGTAGCGTCATAATTTAAGACAAAGTTACAGTTGATTTTGATTCTTGTTAATGGTAGACTTAATATTGAACATTGAAATAGTTTTATATTATTGGAATGAATAGAACGCTAATCGATAGATGAACGCAATTATACTAATTAAGGAAGTAGTAACTACTTATACAACCGGATAATTAACTCATACTCGCAAATGAACTGATATCGAAGACAAGACTACTAGTTAGTAGAATGAATTCTTTCTTTAATGAAATAATATACTTACATAAAAAAATAATAAGTACTAAAAATCATGTGACTAAAGATCATAAAGGGTTGGATAATACCGATTCTGCAGGTCGTTCATTCTTCAATCAATTAGGACGTAACTGTGTTAGGTGAAATTTTTGCCATGTCACTTTATAGTAT